AATTCTTCGGAATTTTTCCCTTCTCAGTGGCAAGGGCAGTGTTTGCTCATTCGGATGGGATAAAAAAAAACGAAGTCCCGTGTATACTTGACAACTGGAATACAAAATAACAGTAGGACGTAGCACCGGGCAAACTTTTCCTCATAGCCCGTCTTCATTAGCCGTGTCTGTGCAAAAAAGTAGAATGTTAAACCCCATTCCATTTCATTTCCAACTTACTTTTAACTCGAAAAAATAATCCACTTATATATGTTTTATGGGCTTGCAGCCTTGGTATCATTCTTGAGTCTTGTTTCCTACTTAACAACGTACACTATGGATTATAACATTTTCAATTTTTGCACCTTTGAATATGATCTGCAAAAATTGTTTAAAATATCAAATATCCCACCGTTCTAATGCAAGTTCTGTTACCATGAAGGTAATTCAATTTTCTTCTTAAAGAGTCAGGTAATATCATTGATTTCTGATTTAAAGAGTCAGGCATTATCATTGATTTCTTATTTATTATAACATCATATTCAAAATACCCCTAGATTCGTCTAATTATTGAAATTATCTATAACTTGTAATTACATGTAAGTCTTGAAACAAACTGGAAGAACTGGCTTCTAATTTGAATACTCCAGTCAAATCATTGATCTATTTAAACTGATATTTTTGCTATTTATTTTCAAAAAACAGCAGGGGGTAGGTGTGGTTACTAACTTCAAGGAGCATAGGATATGGTTGTGACAAGCTTTGATATTTAGTAGATTTACAACATAGGGAAACAAGATGGTGTATGCAACCAACAAATAAGGAAGCGTCTGTCTGTTTAACAAACTTAAAATAACCACTGTCATTCGTCGTTCTATTGACAGGAAGCTGTGGATTATAATCTCTGTAAAAAAAAGGATAAGCGCATGAAAGGGGCGTGGGTGGGGGATTGGATTGGGTGGGGTGATGCAATTCACACTGGAGATCAGAGTTTCAAAAAATCACACAAATTTGATTTTGATTCAGGATGCCTAGTCCTCAAACTCAAACTGTAGTTCCAGAAAATTCGCCCCGGTTATTTTGTGAGTTCAATCTCTCGACTGTGACTGAGACTTTTACCATCAGCTGATTCATTATTTTGACCGGTACGACATTTGGTTATGAACTGCATGCAATTCGCATTTTGTTTTTATCTGGTCGGAGGATGTATGATGACCCCCTCATATAAAATCCCTCGTCACAGCCAGATTACTATTTTGCACAATGACCGATTTCGATTCAGACTGTTTTTGTATTACACGTTTAATTTCACTAGAAAGTGATCGTTTTAATGAACTAATTTTTAGAATTTCGTCTCTTATGCTGTTCACAAGTTCTCGAAGAAACGTCCCAGAGCTAAGGGTAGAATTGTGTGTGACTAACTCAGGATTGTTATGGTTCACCTCTTTCTGCTGGGTTTGTTATTTATGCTGTATGTTTTGTCCATATATGTGTTTAGCTATACGTAGAGCTAAATTTGGAGTAGAGTTTGGGTAGAAGTCTTAATTATTTTGTGAGTCAAGTAAAGGCAAAATGGAGTTAATTAATCTTTGAAGAATATGTGTAGAGCCCTTGTGTAAATCGCGAATAACGTTATGGGTTTTAGTGGGGATATTTATTACAAGAGAAATGAAAAATAAAAGGAGTTATATGACCTTTGAGTTTTAGGGTTAAGTTCTGGCAGAAGAAGTGCCAGTATATTATATGCATTGCGCCTAAAAATCGCCAGAATTCGTGTAGGTGATTTTGATATAGTTTTTCGAGGAGGAATTAGGATAATTGGCTCGTTTACTTTGCGAGATTATCGAGCGAGTCAGTTATTTAGTATATTACAATTTCGTAATTTTTGCTTTAAAATTTAAAATACTATATATCTGCATGCGTTATGTATGTTGTTAGAAATGTTTAATCGATATTATGTCGTCTGCTCTCCTGTGTGCAAGTCACGTGGTGATTTGATAGATAAGAAATGAAATGAAATGGAGTTTAACGTCCTACTGTTCTGCTCCGAACTGGGCTAATAAAGACGGGCATACGCCATACAGTGTGCTATCTGTTACGTGCGCGCCAATGTGTACACGGGGCCTCGGTTTTTCGTTCCATCCGAACGACTAGACAGCTGTCCTCGTCTGGCTCTCTGTCCTGCATCACTGACGAGGGGGGACCACGCCGGAAAATTGATAGATAAGAGATATTTACTAAAACAATATACCGTTGGTTTATCAAATTAAAATGTTGAGTTTAGATAAAATTAGAATTGCACATGATAACAATTTGTTTATGTTGACGAGTAAAATTGTAGATTAATGATTTCAGGTCAAAAGGTTGATCTACTGCTTTAGAGTATGGTAATTATCTTAAAGAGACACGTTAAGGGTTTTTCCATTATTAAAGATACACTATGGCAGTTCTCACTATAATAGTTAAAAACTAGATAATGTAAAAGGAATTTGCTGAAAATTTCAGTCAAATTGATCCATTTTGAACCGAGAATTTAGCAATTGAATTTTCGGCCTAGCCTCGATCATCATTACTAAAGTCAGTACGATAAAAAACATAGCCTCGATTATCCATTTCATGATTAAATCTTGAATGAAATTTGAGCAGCAAATCGAATCCTAATCCAGTAAATATCGCAGGCTAGAGTTGATTATGATCTGGATAAGTTAATTAATGTCTAATTAATCAACCAAACATCAGAAGGGCTGATGGAAATTTTATAAAGTCGAGATAGATTTGTGATTAACGAGATAATCTCTGCTTCAAGAAAGGAAACGATTTATTGTTGAGACTTACGGTAGCTGAAACAGACCAATAGAAATCCAAGGCGCGAAAATGGTTTGCCAATGATACCAAATTGGGGATTCCTGACACAGAATTTAAAGTGAAAACAGAACTTTATAAATACTAATGTAGAGTTGTAATATTTTGGAATAAGGACATTTGAGTGTTTACTTAAAGATAATTATTATAGGACTTTGGAAGTGCGGTGAATAACTTTTTGAGGGCGATTGCATGCGACTTTTGATTTTTGATTATTTATGTTTTTCTTTTGGTTTTATTCTTAAGCGTTGGAAAATTAACTTTACAGCCCTAACTGATACGTGTTGGCCATATGTAATATTGGATGTTAATCGTATAGTAATCATATTTAGTTAATAGCCAAAAATATAGAAAATATACTGGTTATGTTGATACGTTAACTGAGCTATAGATTAATACACATGTTGGTCGTTTACATTTGTCTTTGTTATAAAACCTATATCATACTTGTTGACCAAATTAGGTAATAATACCTGCCGATATCCAGGGTATGGTGCATATCTACTCCATATTTGGAATTTAGCTGTTATCAGTCTATGACGTAAATCAGTTAGGGGTAGGCACCTATAAAAGACGGCTAGACATCATTGGATTCTTTAGAAGACCAGATATCATTGGATTCTTTAGAAGACCAGACATTATGCAAATTCTTTGGAAAATCAGCCTCGCATTGGTTTTTTTTAGAGGACTATTTCATGATGTAGTTGTTTCCCGAATTTAGTCACGCTGGTTAGACTTTTACAGGAGTTGGGGGTTGAGAGAAAGAGATATTAATTTTAAATATTGTAATGTAGACTATTGTGTAACTGTTGTGAAGAAAAAACTGTTAGTAAATGTCAAATTAATAATTTATACAACATTTCAGGCCCAAAGAAAGAATTTAAGAAAGTATGTTTAAGAAGAAAGAATTTCAACAATATTCGAGCCCGAGACAAAACTAGACAATCACATACCAAAAAAGATCTGCGGCAAGAGAGAATATGTCGGACGTCGGATGGGGTAAGCTTTTTGAAGGTTTTGGGCTTTCCATATCTGACCGACGACGTATATTGCTACAATCGCTGCAATTTCCAGAATGGCGTTATTTACGGCCAAGACATATTTAGATTTGAGTACCGAGAAAAATATTTTTGAATTCTTCTTTGTAAAGTGGTATGTTTTTGACATAAAATCATTAATGATTGTGAGAATAAAGTAATCATTATCGTTTAGAAGAATAACATCATGCTTAATTTATATATGAAACCAAAAACTATAGGAACTGTAATTTCACCTATTTTCTTCTAAACTTACACTAATTCCCAGTGGGGGTAAATTAACTCCAGCATGGGAACGCTTGCTCAAACCAGTACCTTTCCTTTATGAAACCCTTCCCACCAAGCGCATTGTATTTGGTGCATGGCGGTTCCTCTGAAATGTGCTTTATAACGATACGAGGATACTTGTCGAAACGCCGTGCTTATATAATAAACATAGAAAACTAGTGTTGTTCATTGTCAATATACTAGCTCTTAGTTAGACGGCGAATTAAGCCACCACCTGCTTGGTGCATGCGCAAATCCACCCGAACATGGACCAAGTAGTAGGCAATGGCACAGCCAGGCGTTCCTAGACCAAGTAGTAGGCAATGGCACAGCCAGGCGTTCCTAGTCAAAAGTGTTGTCATAGTTATATTCAATGACATCGTTTAGTGTAACTTTACCTCTACCTGCAATTTCCCAAATAGTATGTCGTTTGCCAATACCATACCTCAAAAGACAAGAACGGCAACATTTAAGACTTTTCGGTTTCATATGCAAACTAAGCATGACGCTATTCCTATAAATGATAATGATTACTTTATTCTCACAATCATTAATGATCCACGTTACTCTACTTTTCTAGTCAAAGGTTGGCCTCTTTTTTCAGTAACTTACTGTTCTCAATTCGCAGCCATTTTGAAGGGGTTAAAAAATATTGCCATTCCCTAGTCTATGGGCTGTCGCTGAGTAGTGCCCGGAATTTGAAATGGGTAGCTGCGCGACAATGGCTACTCGCCATGTGGGGCCAGACGTCCAGTTCTGACATCATACAGTGTAAATTGAAAGACATAAACGTCTCCCTGTCTTGGGGAAATCAGGCTATTAGGATTTCGGATTAAGAAAGGAAAATAAAAACTATTTAGGGGGGTATCTATACACATTTAATTTGTTTTAGTTAGTTACAAAATAATATTTTTAGTTAGACACGATTTAAAATTTACTGATAAGATTGTAATAATAAGACTATACAATATTGGTATTGAGAATAGAATACCAATACCCCCAGGTTTAAACTGCATATCTCCATTTAAAAAATAACTGTTGTGCCATTTTACAAGATGACTGAAAAAATGAACCAATCTAAGTCTACAAAATATTGAATTAAACCTACATGGTAAACACATACATGAATTAATAATTCAAATCCAATGAGCACTGATAAAAAGAGATTAATCAATCAGCACCTTGACTATGTTGACTTTAACCCTTTAGTGACACCAGGTGCCACTGTGGCCCATATCTAACTGTGTGGCTTTGACTTGTGTGCTCATTGATATGCTGAGGTAGAACAATAAATAACACTTATTATTTAACTTATTAATAAATCATGAATACCTACAATGCAATGATAAAGACACAATGGTTAAATACTACGGCAAATTGTACCTTGTGTGCGTTAAATTTCCCATAATCAATGCCGACAGTTCTAACACCACTATGATAAAAAAAAATGAGTACTGAACTCTAACAGAACATACACCCCATTGCCAGCAAATCTCATGAGCAGTCGGATAGAATCAATCGCCTGAAGTTTAGCAATGGATTCAATTATCATTGAGCCACAAATTGATTGCTTAGCATCAAATGAACAACCCATTTTATTAAACAATTGTTCCATGTGACAAGTTGGAATATGGTTGATAACTATGAAATAACCTACTGTCTGTTTCAGGAGATATTCTGACTCTCTAAAATTCCTCGCCATGTCTTAAGTTTTTAATTTAAACTGCCAAAACCTGGTGACATACCTGAAAGTATCACACCGTTGCTCTCTTCGTCAAGCCTTAACGCCTAGAGGTTTGATAAAATCCACTATTCTCATGTAAATTTCTCTTGTAAATGGTACTAGCTATAATTATTATTCATACAAAATATTTCTTTATCTCAATTTGGCCGATATACCTGGATAGCCCTCGTAAATAAGAAGAGCAAGACATGAACCGATTTTTGTACTGTTTTCCCGCAAATGTTATTTAACTTTAATATTTGTATTCGAAACATTTATATACACGTAGTTTTGAATTTTTGCCATTTCCGAGAAATAGGTAATTTTGTGGGAGTCACTTTTCAAAAGAATAAAATATTGTTCTATTTTCATGACATTTGCACCATTTGATGCCTACTGCGACTGTTCATTATTGTAACATTCTTGTCATTAGAAATGACGTCATTTTGGCAAAACTTGTACTTTTAACCTTTATTAAACAAACTTTTGTTTCAAATGTACCCGTTTTTTTATATTTAAATTTTAAATCTTTAATTCCACTCATCGAAAAGCACAAATCAATGCGAATATATAGATATCAAAATATAGTTTATAACTTGATGCAATTGTACAAAAGCACCTTTTTACGTTGTTTTGCTCAACACATCTATAGTGATTTTGAAAAACATACCCACCTTAAAGCAAACATTTAATAATAATGTTTACTAATTTCCTTTAAGTAATATTGTGCAGATGCACGATCAAGCACTTATCACAAAATTATTTCTTACATTAACCATTGGTCACTTTGTAAAGGTTCTACGCGTCAACATGCTTTCATACATGACCATTTCGCTTAAATTTTTAACAGGTGTGTCATGCTCATATGGGAATATATTAAATTGGCGTCAGTGTTAAAGGATAACTGGCACTGGTGAAACCCGTCATGACTCTATCGCAGTTATAGTTTTCTATAATTTACTGAGCTATTTCTAAACCCCTTTTTTTTTGCAAAATAAATGCCGATATTTTAATATCCCTCAAAGTTCATTGCATCATAGGCATTCATAGTATTGTATTGCTATCAAAAGGTACCCCACAGAACATTTATTGGACAACAGTTTCGCATAACGGTAATGAATAGTTTATTTTTGAGGTTTAGGCACGTAAAATGTTTCAGATATTAAGTTAGAAAAGACAAAAAAGCGAATCTTAGAAAATATAACCCCTAGAATAATTAATGGGGTGATGGCAATTCCAGGTATGTCACTAAATGTCAGCCGTTTTAATTCAATATTGAAGAAATGACAAGCAATTTTCTTGTCGTAGTGTCACCTGGAACAGACAGTAATGAGTAATACATATATAGTGTTCATCCTTAAAATATTAATATGCAAGGGCAATAACCATGATAATGCATTGATTTTCATGCAAATTCAACCATAATCATATCTATAATACATTTACATCCTTTATCATATGAAGTACCAAGCCAATAGTAAACTTATTTTATAAATTTTACTAGAACTGCAGCGTTTTTTTTTCAGGGTTCATCTGACTGTATGTCATATTTGATCAGAATGTTTTCAAGGGCAATAAGTCTGTAAATAATTGCAGATATGTGCTGATGTTTCGATTTTATGACAGTTTGAAAAAGATTTCATCATTTAACTTTTCTCTAAAACTTGTTCACATGAAAATATGAAAGGACAACGGTCTGGATAACAACAATATATATCAACATCAAAAACATTTAAAGTATCATCACAAGATTTACTTCAAATTAGAAAATGCATTTAATACCAATTGTTTTAATTAAAACAAAATATATAACGACAGTCCACTATTGTATTCTCGTGAAAAATATGAACCATATTTAACATACATGTCTGACTTTTCATTAAATTTTAGACCATCATCTTATTTCATGAATAAGATTCTTTGTAAAACCACATTTAACTTGACAGCCGCTCAAAACAATGGCTTTAAATTTACAGTCTAAATATCTTTTATATGATAATTTATTTAACAAGTTGTTGTAAAAGTCAGATTGTCCCTCAAAATTTACTATTACCTGTGATTTAAATTATAATTTAAAAATGAAATATGAAAATAATTTCAGTACCTAAATATTCATAAGATTTTAGTACAATATGACATTTTTAATAACCTTAACAGAAGAAAATCAAGTAAAAACGAATATGATATAATTAAAATCTAATCATCTAAAAATTCTAATTTAAATTAAAAAACTAAATCATTGTATACATAGCTTCTGAACAACCACTAAGCTAAATACTGAATTGACTAGCCTAAGTTGATTTGGACTATTTTTTGTCACCTTATGCATGAACATTTGCTTCGAAACCTACAAAAGGCTAAACATAATATAGGTTTATCTCATATTTTTTTACCAGACTTTTCGGATATCATTCATTACATTTTATAGACACAACTATAAGAGTTTTACATTTGAACCTTTATGAGAGGAGCATTTCATCATGGTTTTTATTAAACATACTCATATGGAGTGCTAGCTTTTAAGAGAGTAAATATCTGAACATGGTATATAAGGAGAGTGAACTGTGAGTAAAAGTGCTCACAAGCTATTTCTGACACTGGCTATAACTCTGGGAATAACTGATGAAATGCGATCTCTTGGATTTTTGGAGTGTCATTAAAATCACAATTTATGTTGAGGGTGAAAACTCCATGCATAATTGACAAACATTGTTCAAATCAAACTCATCCAAACTATGAATGCCAGACTAAATACAGTACCAAGTTTCTGTAGAAAATGTAAATGATCACACAAGAAGTATGGACTGACTAATAGACAGTAGTAACGATGATACAATACACATGTGAGCATAGAAAAATGCAACTATTAGCAAAAATGTAATCTTTTGACAAGGCCATATGTTATATATGCAATGGCTAAAATATTACCTTTATTAAACTTATCAGAAATGTATGACATAAAAAATATCAAAGAACACATTTCAATGGCTCTCTTAAGGTATACACATTACATTGGGGAAAAAAATGAACACTTTTGGTTAATGAGAGTTGAGCCCCTTTTTATCTTAGAAAAAAAAAATCTACAATCTATATTATTATATTTGCCATTGGGTTCTTCTATGTCATGATTTTGAGGTATTTCTATAGACTTTGTTAAGAAAATATTACCTCTGATATTTAAATATAAAACAATGTACATGAACGTAAGATAAATATTATAAGGACATAACACATCAAATATGAATTACCATACATGTTTTTCAAGGGTCTGGCAAACTAACAGTTTATAAAAAAAAAATCAATCAATAGGCTACAAGTAAATGCAATATAATTATCAATTTTATAATATTTACACTTCTGTCACCATATTATTTTATATACATCAACTAACAATAGGTGAAATATATTACATTAACAATAATGAACAGTTGCAAATTATATGTGTCTATTTGTCATCCTTTATTATCTGACAAATTCTGTGGCCATCCTTAGGTACCTGTTTTAAGTACTTGATCCTCAGAGATTCATTATGAACACAAAACTCTATATTTACTTTGTACAAAATATATCCTCTCATCACAAAACCTTCACAACCACTAGTTCTGAACAGCCCAGACTATCACCATTTACAACTGATTGTTCATGTACAACATTCCATCATATATGTCCTTTAAACCAGTCCATTTGGCTTAGTTTGTGCTTTATCACTAGATTTCTGGTCAATTTAATTAGGTACCATTAGGATTTTGAGTTTGTATTGTTATCTACTTCAATTGACTTAATAGGAAATTCCATCCTAATTTATATGATAAATGAACTGTGGTCAGGAAATACAAATTAATTGATCTACAAGATCAGGTTACATTTAACACTTTGAACAGCCACATTTACGAATAACTGGAAGTTCATAAATGTAATTAGTTCCATCTTGACAGAAAAGGCGAACTTTGCGTGTTTTGATCTTTTTTGGTTTACAGCACATTTTACCACAAGTACCCTCACATCGTCGATACTTTATTCTGGCTCTTGATGTACATTTTGTTTTTGGATCCGAGTAGGTATCTCGGAAAACAATTTCTCTACATGTTGGTGCTATAGAAAAACATAAAACAAATAATATTTATCAACTGGGAACATTTCAGAAAAGAATATGTCCATCGTTAAACATTTCTTTGGATTACAACAAACAACTATTATTTAAGATATTTGCCAGAATTCAAAAATGAAAAACAGAATCAAGCCAACAGTGAGACAGATGTCTCCTGCCTCAGTCCCAAAATAAGTAGATCATTTGCCAAAGCAAAAGAGGCTCTTCATGATCTCAGTCAAGGCATTCACCTAATGAACATCTTCATGTACATCAAGTTAGAATATTTTACCTCAATTAGAAGCAGAGGTATTATGTTCCAAAAAGTGTGAATGATGAACAAATAGATTGACAAACCAATTTTAGTAGACAATAATCAATTAACACCTTGAACATGAACAGCTTCAACCAGTCCACGATCTGGTACGTGCAGATATGCTTGGATATATTTCAATACGATCAACACAATTGCTACGACTGACCTCAAAGTATTGTTGGGATCAACATGATTACTCCACGATTAAAACCACAATTTCAATCGTAACATGAATCCTGATAGTGGAAACCTAGCATTAGATACAAGAACTGTTTCTACGACAAGCACCACAAGAAAGCAACTTTGTGGTGCCCAGAATACTAACAGCAGGCTGTGTGTTGGTCCAAGCGCATAACAAGTACTTATATGAGAACATATAATTAAAAAAGAACTTTGAATGGAGGAACATGTAGCATTGGTATAACAAGTTCTATTAAGATGTACCATGGAAAGATTTCTTAGGTACTTTATAAGATTTTGTACACAAAATCTTTTCAGTATCAAGCTTAAACCCCATAATATATTATTTAGACTTTATACAAAAATATATTTTGCTCACAAAGAAATAAATTAATACACAAATTTTTAACAGATAACTCTGTACAGTGGCAGCAGAATCATAATATTTGTTTAGAGGGGACCAAGGGGTGGTGGCCCTCCTTCAGGAACATTTTGAAAAATGGGGGGGGGGGGGGTCAATGTAACATTCAATTTCATCAGTTACATCAACCCCAACAAAGAGCTCAGATTCATACTTTTCAATGCAACAGATTGGTAAGTTAAGTTTTATACTGTTATTGAGGTGGTGGTGGGGGGGGGGCATCTGGATCTGTCACTGCCACTGACTCTGTGTAAAATAAACATATTATTAAAGGCTAGTTTCTATAGATCACTACTTAATATTAACAAAAGAAAAGAAAATTAAACAAGACCAAAACCAAATATGATGCACAGTATTAAATGGATGAAGGTAGGATAAATGAAAAAAATCTTACCACTGCAAAAACAAGAGCTAGGAAACTATTTCTAGAGGTCTGTTATTAACTAAATTAACAACAATGAAATGACAACATCAATGCAACTTGCCAGTAACAGAAAAACATTAAAATAATAATTTAAATTGTTAAACAGAGTTTAGTCATTTAATGCGACTTGATAGTTTTGTTATACATTTATAAGAATTTGGTATAATCAAGTTTCATTTAATACATTTCTTAATAGCATTATTTTAGGTTGTAAAAAGATTTCTTCACAATAATAATAATAATAATAACTAGATCTGCTAGGCAGATATGAAAGCTTTCATATTCACGGTCACTTCCTGTCACATGTCATAGGTTATATAATGAAACGTAGTGTGAAATAAAATCAGTGATTGTTTTCCATATAAATTTGTGTTTTTATATTATAAAGAATCTTAAAGAGAAAAAATAATTATTAAAACTCGCAAAGTTATAAGCTTAAATATAGCGAGAAATATTTCACACTGGCAAAAAAATAATCTGAAAAGTAAAAGAAAATAACTGAGACTTGTATTTCTGTAATCCGATGACTTCCAGTTCCAAAAGTTTCAGAAAAAAACAAGACGGATCAGCAAATACAATGAAAATGCTGGGAAAAATCTCCAAAATGGTGTGAAAAATGAAATGATATAATTTTGAATGGAACTTATATTTTTGGAATCAGATTGACCTCAGCTGTTCGAATATTTAGGTAAAATTTGTAAATTTTGAAAATTAAGGAAATAAATTGTCTTATAAACAATTTTGTCGGCACGAAAAAGGTCAAAGGCGAAATTCGAAATTTTCGAACATCAAAAATTCAACCCTGAGCCCGGGCTATCCAGAAATGTATTCATTTCGGATATAGGAGAGGTATTCTTCAAACTACGGTCTATTGTCTTCATTTTCACGTTCGTTAACATGGATTTTTAACTTTTTTCATATTTATTTCAAAATGGTGACCATCAGTTGATTGTGAACACATCAATAATTTCTTAGCTAGTACAGAAAAAAATTTCAAGGCATTCTGACCTACTTTTTTTCAATTTTCTTAAAACTTTGTCGTAAAATTCTGTGATTTCGGACTTGTAAAGTGTTTTGAAAATATATTCATTCCAAAGCCACAACCCATTAGTACACGGAGGCTAACCAGAAATGTATTAATTTCGGAAAAAGGAGATGAATACATGAAACTACAGCCTATTCCGAGTATTTCCAAGCTGTTAATGCAGATTTTTCACTTGTAAAAAAACTTTGTCAGCACGAAAAATGTCAAAGTGGAAATTCGAAATTTTGAATTTTTCAAATACTGTTTAGGCGCATTCACTGAGAATGATCTGTATCCAAACAATTTTAACTTCCACCTTGATCAACACAACTAATGAAGTCTGTTTGACCAAAGGTTATGCGAGGGAACATGTACTTGCATAAGGTCCGATAAGTATTTTGTAGCTAAGCCATTTACACACAGATATGTCAAAGATAGAATTTTGAAGATGATTCTTTCATTTATTGGAAGCCAATCGAGTGATTTGAGAACAGGAGTAATATGAGAGTATTTTGATGATCTGGTAGCAATTCAAGCTGTGGTATTTTGCACAAGTTGGCACTAGATGTTTCTACTAACAAGCTACTACAGTAGTCAACCCTCGAGAATACCAGAGATCATACAATCTATAATCATTATCTAGTAACATGTACATTGAGGGAAATAATCCTTTACGCTAATACAGCCTCCCAATTTTTTTTTTTAATGTCATCTTTTTAATTCCATATATTGACAACATTAGCTGTGCAAAACCATATCTGCAAATGTGAGTGAAAATCAAATTGTCCTTTGCAGATAAAATTTTAATTTGTGACCTGATAAGTATGTGAGAAATTATTCTTACTCGGATAAAAGTCTCTGTTTTTTGGTTTTTTTTAGAATCTAAGCTTTATCATTTTATCATTAAAACTTAATCATACTTTTTATACCAAATTCTTTTGTAAAACAAAATAATTTTGTAATTATAAATGTATTATTAGTATAAAATAACCTATCTACAGTAAAATACTATTGATGATACTACGGGTATATTAAATAACTTTTTCCATAATTTGTCAGAGAGCCATGGTTGTCAAGTGGTTATGAAAATGGACTCTTTAACTAGAATGCCTTGGGATCAAATCCCAGTCAGTTTTTATCATCTGAGGATTATTTGACAAATGAAGTAGTAAGAATTGCTAAAATACTGTCATAATCCATGGAAATGCACAAAAATGAGTTTGTCTGTGGTGTTTATGTTGTATGTATATCAGCTAGAGTAATGCAACACTTGTTCTTATAGCAATAATGTGAAAATAGATTTTTGGAACTAATAAGAAAAAGATCATAATTGTGTTTTGCTGGCGTTCAAAAGGCCCAATGAGTAACATCAGTAATAAGATGTTGAAGTAGTATCATCAATAGAAATATTATGTTTAATAATCTGACAAGTTGCTATTGAGATGAGAAAATGATATGCTCACGTTTGTCTTGGCCTTGAAGGAACCCCGCAAACTTACGTATGTTGCAAAATGTTCCAGAATAACCTCTTTTACACTTGCATCTATAGCCTGGTTTATTTTTACGCGGTTTACAACGGCCATTTTCACACTTATGATCTTGACAAGGATCAAACTGACAACCTGGTGATACTTTATGACTATCAGTTGCTGACAACAAATCTTGTTGTTTTCTGTTTATAAACACCTGACTAAAACAACCTAAAATATAACAATACATGGCATGACAACATAAAGCCCTTTACTTTTGAACATAACTGTTTTCAGGATTTTTTGTCAAAGTTTAAAGGGATATAAGTGGTTTTGGGTTTTCATTAGTTCGTTAGGAAAGCCATTTTTAATTTGACTTGTCTATACAGTTACATCGGAGATGTTCAAAGTAGACCCAAAATGAGACAACTGAGCTAAGCTATTGATGAGAAAACAGTGTTTTAAATTTCACTTAGGATATTTCTACCTTTAAAACTAACACCTTCTCTGATATGCCACTTTTTAAATGCTCTTGTATTGACATCTGCTGGTAATCCACCAAGAAACAGATCATCTTCCACTTCTAGATAATCTTGTGGACCTTGATTAACAACAGTTCTAGGGAAACCATCATAATCTATTTTCATGGTGAAGTTCTTCTGTTTGATCAGCATTTCTAAAGAATGAAGTTTACCATCATCTACACGTTTATAACTAAACATGGTAGATACTGGATAATTGCCCACATCAAAACTAACTCGTACTCGACCTCGAAATAGTTCCACAGCAACATGTTGATCCTGACCAGAATATAACAACACACCAGTTGAAGAATCCGTTTTAAACACAATAGTAATATTTACACCTCTCTTAAAATCTACATTTGGTAATTGAATATATGAGTCCTTTTCCTTAAAGGAAACGCTTGCCATCTTTTCACATTTTTTACCATCAAAACCTGTTGAAAATAGTAATTTAATATTAAATAATGTTTTAGAGATTTATATCATACTGTATGTATTTATTATATTAATAAAACTGTGAAATAATAAACAGATACAGAACTTAATGAATGAATACATTAAGATTAAGACAAAAATGGCAAATAAAACAAAGTAGTTCAATTTGATCTTGAAAATATCAGGAAGTAGACCAGACCCATCCCTGACAACCTATTTGATGCTGTCGAAGGCTATTAATAGCAATAATTTTACATATTTCAGCCGTGAATCCCTATTGGATTAATTCTTTAAAAGATTAGGGGATTTGTTTTTTTTTCTATTTCATATGGTAAATCATTGTGTATTGCATCATTAAGCCCGGCCCATACCGCTACGACTAGACACAAGCCGACAGGACTCAGCGTCTTGGGTAGTTGTAAAAAAAAATCGGGTCGCGCCTTTACTTCACTTGCCTACGACAGTACAAGTCCACACAGGCCCGACTCTCACAGATTATGCGTCGTGAGTTACGTCACTTCCCTCTAGCGAGTGATTCCAAAAGTAAACCGGAAGCATAAAAGTAGGACAATTGATCACGTCGTGTGAGTGTCCACACAAACACAATAAGTTACGACTGCAACCAACTGCATCCGACTACGATTGAACATGTTCAATCAGGCTGACGGGCCACGACGTGACGGAAATCGATTGAATTGTGGTCGTGGGACTGTCCACACTGCACTGATTATCTGAGACAAGACGTTGCGTTGGGTATAGTCTGGGCAAGTCGTGGCGGTATGGGCCAGGCTTTAAACATTAAAACTGTAGACATTAAAAATGAAGATGGTGATCCATATTTGGATTGTTTCAAAGACCACAACAAAACCTAAGTTTCTTTAACAATAAAAAATATACTAGCAAGCAATTGTCTTGAGTTTAGGTCTTTAGGTAGTTTGGCCAATCCAGAACATGAATGTAATACATGAATTGAAAAAAAGAAGATTTAAATTTGTCAAGTGTGACATTTGAAATTGTAGGAATATTCTAGACTTGATCGTCTTGAGCTCTTGCTGCTACAGCATTCATTTAATACTAAAGATAGGTTGCCAGGCCACTAAACATACGTACATAGCGGCTAAGTCATTGTCGATAATGAAACATTTATAATACACTAAAATCTGATTAAGAGTAACAACTAATTAAATAATTATCAGAAAATCATTAGAATTTGTTTGGCTTTTAGTTCTACTCCATGCCAACGTTTAGTATACGAAACATTTAATATCATGGATTTAGCTGTTTAATATACTTGTTCATCTCAAGACCTTAAACTCTGTGTATCAATCTAAAGTCAATCGGATGATAACTTCGGTCTCTAGAGCCTTTTCGTCTCATGGCCTTAAACACTGTGTTAATCAGATATCAACTTTAGCCTCTAGAGCATCCACAAGATTTTTCGAAGTGATCAAGGGCCATAACTTTGGCAGTAATTATCGAAAATCATTGTGAAAATCGATAGGATTCTTCGTCACATGAACTTAAACACTGTAAATTGTTGAAAATCGATAAGCTTCACTCGGCTTTTTCGTCTCATGACCTTAAACACCATGTATAAATTTAAAGTCAACTCTGGCAATAATTATCGGAAAAAATCGTTGAATATCAATAGGCTTCTTCGTCTCATGACCTTCAATAGGCTTTTTCATCTCATGACCTTAAATAATGTGTATAAATTTAAAGTCAATTGGATATTAGCTTTAGCCCCTAGAGCATCCTCAAGACATTTGAAAATCAATAGGTTTCTTCGCCTCATGACCTTAAACACTGTGTATAAATCCAAAGTCAATTGGATATTAACTTTAGCCTCTAGAGCGGCTGGACAGACAGCAAGACGGGTGCCATGACAATATACGACCACATTTCAATGTTGGCATATAAAAAGTGATAACAGTCTACTAAAGCAATGAGCAGACATGGTAATAAACATTTCAATGTGGAAATGAAAGGAAATATTTGAAAGCCAAATAAAGCCATATTGTGTACATGTATGTCACCAAATCATAGTGAGATACCATAAATAATTTAAAACATAAAACTTCTGGTTAATTTCTTAACCCTTTCAATGCTAGACGTAAATCCACTGCCTGTGCTAGACCCTTTTTTGAGGAAAAAAGGGAGGTTGGAACTGAATGCCTAGCAGTACTTATGGAAGCTTTTATGAAAAATCTTTTTGTCTGTTGGGATGGGCATGAGGTTGGGCTAAGAGGAAAAAATAGAATTTTGGAAATTTCCATAATAATGTAGTCACGTGACGTCATGGCGGCCATTTTGGATTTCTCATTTCACACTAAAGCTAACACGAAAACGAATTTTTCTCCATGAAATACTTAAAAGATACTGTTTTTTTTACTGGATTTTGATAAAGATATATAAAATGAACAAAAATATCAATAGCAGCCATGAGCAATGCCGCCGCGAACACGCGCATCACGTCTCCCGCTGCCATGACCACGTGCGGATTGCAATACCTTGTTTTTACTTTCACTTTCACTTTCATCCCCAAGTCCCATATCATTATCAATATAGTCAGTCAATAGATCTACACGTTCGGGAATCAGGAATTACCTACGTATTTTACGATCCAGCAGGCCAGCATTATTATCAATATCAGAATTATTGTCAGAATCTACTGCAGACACAGGGCTATCGTGTTCACATTGGGCTTGTTCATCATGCACGGGAGACATAGCTAGCCATGGGCGGAACGTCGCGCAACAAATCACACACTTCATAATACCAATCACTGTCCTGACTACTATCATTATCAAGTAACTGGAAACGAATTATGTGTATCACCCGCCTCGAAATTGTCCACATGTTGGTCAGCAAGACGTCATTCACGACTTCGTCGAGAGTGCATCGTCTACTTGCAGTTACGGTACTAATTTTAGCGAGGGCTTTACTGAGTACACGGTAATACCGGGTACGGGCATTTTACCGACATTTTATAATACCCGGTACTACCGGGTATACGCAGTGAAAGGGTTAAATCAGAACTAAAACACTGATCTCTGGCTAATATACATCTTTCAACATATGTTTTGCATATCAATTCATATGATATAATATAAAAATTTTTTAAAAAGAACATTGAATAAAACAAGCCAACAGACTAATGTTCCCTGCCTTATTTCCAAAATAAATAGATGACACTTAATAATTATTTGCACATTGCTTTTTATTCTGCCAAATAGTAGCAGAAAATGCTCATCATCGAACTTAGTCAAGGTATAATTGTAATGAAACCATAGCAGAGTTATTGTGTTCCAAGGTTTCAACCAATCAAATTACTTATCTCTGTTTGGCTCAAGCAGAAAATGTTCATTATCGAAATCAGTCAAGGCATTCGCCTAATAAACACATATTAGCTTAATCATCTAATAAACACATATACTAAGTTTGAACATTCTAGCTCAATTAGAAAGAGGGTTGAGTTATTATGTCTTAAAAAAGTGTGACAGACAGATGGCGGATCCCATCTTACAGTACCCTGCTTTCTTTGAAAAAAAAAAATAACTACAAGTTGGCAGCAACAGCTTAAACAAAGTAGCCACTAAAAATTGTAAGCAGATTGATGAAAGAAAATGTATTCTGGCACATGTATAAAGCAGCTATGTACAAGTGCAAAAAGTCCTTCATACTTTTGCTTCCATAAAGAAGACTGGGTAAGAATATAGTGTAGAACTAATCCATGACTTGGGGTGTTAACAATAATCTGATTTATGAAGTAGACATATTTTAGTACTTAGTCAATAATCTTTATTTTGTTCATGTTAATTTTAATAAAAATCAGATCATGCATCAACATATGGTACCTGATAAACTGTAAATGGGAATTCAAATGATTAATCAAGTTTTAATTTATTAGAAAGTAAGCTGAACAAAGCGACAAAATAGCAGAAAAACAGTTACTTGCAATCAACAGAAAATTTGTAAATAATTTGAAATGTATACAGAATCATCAAAGAAATGATGGTGTTCTACTTGACAAAGAAATAGCTGTATACCTCTTGACAAATTACAGTGTTTTATACTTGACAAAGAAATAGTTCTTGTTATAATAACTCAGCTAAATTGTGAGAGCAATGAGGAAAGCTGCCAGTTAAAGCAAGAGAATTACAACTGACTAGGGATCTTTTACTTGAACTGTGTACCTCATTAGTTTTATTTTAAGAGAAAATCAATATAAAATTCTACATTGGCACCATTAAAAAATTCTCAATAATTAGACTATCAAAGTAAATCTGATGAAATACGATAAGTTGTAAAAATTCTATACTGCAGTTTACATGTAGAGTATTACAACACAGATGTATGGACGGATATGTGGGTGAAGAAAGATAAGTGTATATAAGTAATAAAGATAGGTAAGCCATCTATATTAATAAAAATGTAATATATTATACAGCACTTTATAGATAGATAGCAAGAGTATCAAACAATGAGAATATTTTAGAAACTGAATTTGATGATTTCTTAAAATAAAAGATGAAAGTTATAATGAAGGCTATAAAGGGCTGTATAATTGTAGTAAGAAGCATGACAAAGCTTGTTAAATACCTGGTGCACATCTACACTGATAGTCAGTGGTTTCCATGGCACCACGTGGCATGAAGCAGACAGCATTATTCTGACAGTCGTGGTACTTGCAAACACTCGGCATGGACTGCCGATGCCAAAACTCTACAGAAAGAACTGGTGCGATCTCACAGTGTTGTCCTGAGTAACCAGTGGGACACATGCATGTGTAAGTATTAAAGCCATCCACGCAAGTAGCACCATTTTGACAGACATGGGACTTACAGTCGTCTATGTTAGAAGAACAATTCTTTCCTGTATAACCTGTTATACATTCACATCTGTAACAAATATCATTATAACAGTATACATTATCATACATTTCAATAGTTATATCATTATTATACACATCTTAATTATACTGACAGGCAATAAAAAATAAACACTTTTTTTTACATGATACACGTTTGAGAGATATAAGATGTTTTACGATCACATAAATGCACTGCAGATCAATTCTCTAAAGCACCAAAACAATGAATTTGAAAACTGAAAGTCACAATTTTATTATGGGTATTTAAAAATTTGGCTTTTAAAAATCTAGAATAACTTCTACAGTTCTCTGGAAGACGCAACTATACACATGAACACTGAGAATATACCATTGCTATAATTCAAGAGGGCATGAGTAGCAGAGCCGTCACACGAAGGTTTGGATACCATAACACTACCGTCCTGAGACTGGGCTATCATTTCCTGCAAATTGGATGCACCAGAGATCCATCAAGGTGTGACAATGCCTTGACAAGAGAGGCACTTTATACAGCAACATCTGCAGGATGGCACCCTGTTAGTCCACAAGGTTCATCGGTGATGCTGGTATTGAGTAGGCTCTGCCCGTCTTCATTCCAGACAACCTTATATTGAACAAATTTTGACTAAAATCTGTTAATGACTTTCGATTTGTACACCCTTTTGCCTATGTTTCACTTTCAAGTAATATTATCATGTTCTTGTATCAGTAAGCCTACACTGATGCTAACAATTATATTTTAGCTGGATTATGTCTCTACAACACTTTCAGTCAAATCACTGGTGCATTTTTATTGCATCTCAGTATATTATATAATGATCATACATAATATTCACATATTTCAAATGGCATGTCATCACTACACATTCGATATAGATTTCAAATTAGGAACACTGAACATCTGAAATTAGGTGTCTGTTGAAAATGAACATTCATTCAGAAGTATATATTATATACCTACTGACTTATTTTAGAAGTATATGTATACCTAGCTACTATAAATAACTACAACTATATACCTGTAATCTGTGTTCATACTAACACATGTAGCACCATTGAGACAATAATTAAAACCAGCTTTACAAAATGGTATCTTATTCTCACATCTTTTACCTAATATAAATAATGACAACTATTATAAACATGAAATAACAATAACAAAACATCATATCTTAAATTATATAGATTAACGCTTACATCACCAACCTAATATCTTGTTATTAAATAGGGCTGGGAAGAAGAGATTACAGGGAAGGCAACAAACATCCACATTGACGGCATGTGACATGCTTTGACTGCAGTACAGTGATCAAATATGTGTAGATGGCATTGATGTTTGAAATAGGGCTTGAAACTGTTATGAAAATGTATTATAAATCTGGTTACTTGAAGTAAAGTTTTGCACTTAAAAGGCCCGATTAACCAGATTGTAATACTAATAATTAATGATATAGATTGTAGTGATGTTCAAACTGAGAAGAGATTTTTAGTATTAAAACAATGTTTTGATTTCTGTTGATATCTGTTGACTAAAAGTAAACATAAAGTATTTCACAAGATCTACCAATCAGATAACTGATGTTCAAACAACAAGAATAATGAAGATCTTTGTAAGGTTTGATCTAATTAAACGAACCATAAGTACAGATTTTGCATTTGAAAAAAAAAACCAATCAGATTATAAAATAATATTTCACTATGAAAAATCATACCCGTAAAAGCTGGAGCACATCGACAAGAATAAGACATAATCTCATCAACACAGGTGGCATTATTTTGACACTTATTATTAACACAATCATCTATATTAGTTTCACATCTTTCACCTTTAAAACCATCTAAACAACTGCATCTGTAATAATAAAATATTTATTATATAACTATAAACAATCACACCTTTTCCAGAAGAAGCTGTGCACATTTGATATGAAGGAGAGATTAGACACACTTTCAGATATATAATAGTCGTAGCCTACATATATCACAACTTGATGTGTCTATATCTGCATAAACTATTATATATCTATGAGGATTGTGTATTCCCTGCTCAACAGAAGTACAACAGATTTGGTAGAATAATAGTTTAATATATAAGGTTTAAATGTTCATTTGACAAAGAGTTATTATAAGACCCGAAAGTCTGTTGTATCTCTGAGGGTAGACTATCCTCTATTCTCTACCTGCATCATTTTATGATCCAGTAGGGACAGAGAATAAATTGGTTTATCCGACCTCTTTCAAAGAGGCTCTTTGACTCATTCAGTGGAGTGTTGCAGATCCCCACCATATCCTAATCATTTATCTAGATACATGTAAACTAGACAGACATATCCATCTCCAAACTTGCTAACTTTTTAAAGTTTCTGAAGTTTACAATACACCAATAGTAATTACCAATTGTATTACCGATATTATGAGAGTATTGAGTAAAACCATACCTGAATCTACCATGTTCTAAAACCTCACAATTACCACCATTATTACAAGGATTACCAAAACAAGCATCTATCTGTCTTTCACATCTTTCACCATGAAACGCTGTGGTACATTCACATGTAAAGTTTTTAAATTCTACAGTATGACACGTACCTCCATTAGTACATGGATTTGTCATACACACATTACATTTCTCTGCAATCATTGGATCCAATGTTCCTATAATGGAGAATTAACAAATGACTCTCCATCAACTATGAGCTATGTAATAATTATATAATGTTCGTATCATTCAAGCCTAAATATATTATACATCTTCCATCTGTACAATTAAACATAAATAAATATATTCCAACTTACCTAAACATTCAAAATATTTGGATGGTGTGGTTAATAATAATTTATGTGTCATTTGTGGAGGTCCAATACACAGCGCTATACCAGGTTCAATAAAATCTGCCTTTATCCAATCTGACAGCCATTTTAAATTACAGTCACAATACATAGGATTTCCACCTAGAGCACTAAATAAATACAAAGTAGAAACCATATAACAGATATATTGTATATGACCAATAAACAAATATATTGTATATGACCAATAAACAAATATATTGTATATGACCAATAAACAAATTGTTGTATATGACCAATGACCAATAAACAAATACATTGTAAGATACGACTGATAAACAAATATATTGTATATCAAGGATAGACAAATATATTGTACATCAAGGATAAACAAATATATTGTATATGACTGATAAACAAATATATTGTATATGACTGATAAACAAATATATTGTATATGACTGATAAACAAATATATTGTATATGACTGATAAACAAATATATTGTATATCAAGGATAAACAAATATATTGTATTTCAAGGATAAACAAATATATTGTAAACAAATATTTTGTATATGGCCGAAAAACAGTGATGGGATTTTGCCCGTATATTCCGGACATGTCCGACACTATTTTCCAATCGTCCTAAATTGTCCGACCAGGAATATGCCCAATCAGACATCAAGACATGGTAAATAATATTCAAAATTCCAAAATTAATATAGTATACTGAGTGCATAACTACCACTCAACCCGATTATTGTTGATAATAGGCTGGATTGATTAGGTAATTAAGTAATCAACATATTTATCGTTTTATGCCGTCAATACACCTACCTTGATTAACTACTTAATCTGCCTTGATTGGCTGACTTAATTCTTTGTCGGACAATTCATCAATTCAATCCTGAACAGAAGTCATTGCTTCTCTTTGTCCAACTATATATCAATCCAATAAACTTAATCTATGTGATTAACCTGTGATTTCTCCATTGTCTCATGTTTTAATCTCCTTGATATCGGCCGTAGACATTAGTCATATATGTCACATATCCTAATAGTATATAACACCCAAAATCAATATACATTGCGTCCGATAACTTGTCTGTGATATTTCTTCAGTGGAAGGCGAAGTTAAATAAAGCTATTTCACACACACGCAAAATGAAAGTAGAAATCTCGCGAGACACGTGGAATTAAGAGGTGTAAACGTGCCAAATGTAATATGGCTGATGTCGGCAGAAAAGATTCTATTTTGATGGCATATTGTCAGATTTATAATCATATTTTGAATGGGGTTTATGTTTTTAAATAAATGTTGACGAATATTTCGATTGGAATTACGTAAGTAGTTACAGTAATTGTTTTTAGACGATAGCGTGTGCTTAGAGTCGAATGGGATTATTTAGCAGTTGGTGTCACTCACTCATTCTGTTACAGCGACGTTTACTACGGTTTAGGGCCAAATAGATTTCAGGATGTCATTTTTTTTTACCTTCTGTATATAAATCGAAATGGAGCATAAGACGAATGCCGGACTTTGCTGAAAAATATATCGACTTATGACCTGAAAAATACGGTAATTTTGGGGGAATTTGAAACCGGTACGGATGGGCAATAGTCGGCACGCTTTCATTCTATGGTATTATGATGTCATGTAATTTTTTAGGAATATTATCGACATAAATTTGAATTAAATATGAAAAATTACGAGGTGCATCTAATTTTTTTTTATTACGTATGAATTTGAATAATTTGTTGACACGTGATTCTTAATTGTGGTTTGAAAACGCCTGCTTAAATAACGATAAGAGTTATGTCCCTTTATTTTCGGGAAGAAAATGTCTGACAACTAAAATTTTGAAATCCCATCACTGCCGAAAAACATATATAATATTGTATATGACGATACACAAAATTAAGGTATTGTAAACATAATTATAAACAAAATTGTATATATAACTTACATGTGTCGTAGAGCTGTGAGGTCTTTAAATGATCCATAAGGAATGCTGGATATATTGTTTCCATGTAATGACCTGTAAAATTAAGATTCATTTTAATTGTAAGAAAATAAAAGTTTAACATCTGTCATGACTAACTGATGAATTATTATATTCTATTACTATTGCATAAATTAGTTATTCAAATATCAAGAGATCTTCATACTTACAAAATTCGAAGTTTTTCTAATGATTTAAAACTTGAAGCGGCTATGCACTGCAATTTGTTGTAACTTAAAATTCTGAAAATAAAATCTTCATTAAATTAAACGATCACATTTGACTGATTTACTTGAAACCATTATATAGTTTAATATTCAACCATTGAATGTGGCATTTTTCTGTGAGAAAAAGCAGAAGAACATCTTTGTTCACATTATTGACAATTTGATTTGATATTGTAAAACTGAACAACATTTTAAGATACTTACAATGTTTCTAAGTTTGTTAAATTGCTAAATACAGATTCTTGTAATGTAATCAATTTATTATGACTCAAATCCCTGTAACAAATAATACATTGAAATGAAGCTTATCATGAAAGATTTAGAAGAATTTAACTATTTCTAAGGCATTATCACACTAATAGTATATATAACTCTTTAAAACAATATTTATTTTGTTTGTTATTATATTAATATAAAAATGGGAAAGAAGATATTATAAAACAAGAAACAATTCAAGGAGTCATAATAGATATATCTCAGTGAATAAAACTGCTTATTGGTAATTCTATTTGGAAGCCTCCTAAATTAGTAAAGTACAGCCATAGTTTTGGGCAACTATTTGAAGTTATGAATTATCATTATTCAAAGAAATACAAATGCTCAGTTTGCAAACTGACAGTGAGTCTAAAATAACATCACACATGAGTAATACACCCATATGTGCATTATGTAACCCAGTCAAGCAATTTTGGTGACGGTATCTGAACAGCTCAATATTTTAAGCCAAAATTTTCAGGCAAAGTAAATGGGCGATTCCTGTGTGTGGTATGATTCAAAATTTGGGACTGTTAATTTAAGTTTGATATTGTAAAATTATTCTACTTACAATCTGTTTAATTTTGTTAATAAACCAATTTCATTTGGTATACGAATTATCGAGTTCACATCCAAATATCTACAAGATAAAAACAGAGTTGTGTCCCTTACAATAGTAAATCAAAATGGCTCTTAAAGGCCCATAATATCCAGTTTCATTGTTACAAGAAAACCACCAAATGTATGAAATATCTAATCCATAAGAAACATACATGAATGGTGATTATTATCAAAAATTCATCTGGTATCCACGTCAATGAAGGCCTTACAAACTACCAAGTCTAAAAGTGCCATTATCCATGTTTGAACATTCTACTGACACATGAGACGAACCAATTTTAATATATTCATCAGTTGATTTCTTTATCTTGGTTATCAAACTAACGTTTCAATATATTTTGGACGTTTGATATTGATGACATTATCAAAGTGGACATGACACTTTTGAGCTGAAACTAATCATCCATGTACATTTATTTATTTACTGGTATTTGTATTTTTTTGGGTGGATCCAAGATATACAAAATGATGTATTTGATAGTTTTAGAGAGATCATAAAACACAGATTTAGTGGTATAAATGTGAAAATAGTTTATGATTTCCTTTTTTATAATTGTGAGGGCCATATTCTATGAAAGTAAATGATAAAATTTTCAATGATTGTCAAGTGTGAAATGAAAAAATTCTACTTTTGAAATGAAATTTAATTTGTGTTTTTTTTTAAATCAAAAAATTATATTTCAAACAAGCTATATGTATAAAAACTACACATTTCTAAAATTTAAATACTCAATTAAGTAAGATAAAAAAAGAAATGATCTACTTACAATTCTGTTGTATCAAGTGGAATGTATTTAGGTATTTCAGTCAGTTCTTGACGACTACATCTAACAACAGTACCTTTACATGAACATTTAGGAGGACAATAAGCTCTAGGATCACAACTATTCTCTTCTGTAACTAATTAAATATAATAATACAATATAAAAAAAATCTTTTTTCAGAGATACTATCAAGACAATCATTAATTCAGTCATTTTTTCTAAGAAACTCAACTAGAATTTTCCCAATTTAAAAACCAGGGTGAGATCTTTTGTGTGTTTTATTTGATAGTCAATGATTGGGTTAAGAGAACTGAATTTCAGAATTTTCAACTGAGCATCCACATATCAGATAAGTGCTTATCATATAAGAATGTAAACAAAATCAGTCTTACTCATATTACTATCATGACAGCATCCAGGTATACCAACATTACATCCCACATCATTGTTTTCTACAAATATAAAATTATTGTTTTCTACAAATATAAAAACATTGCTACATATTTGGGGCAAAAATCATTGATTTTAGCAAAATATGTAAAACAATTTCGGAATTTGAAAAATAAAAAAATTGTGAATTATTACCTTCACAAACAAAGTCTTTTTCTTTTAGATCTTGTATAGGTGTATTTTTATGTATGTGTGGAGCGAAACACGTTGGTGTTCCTGTTATAACATTACGTTGTTTTAACCATTTAGATAACCATCCCAAATGACAATTACAGTTGAAAGGGTTGGCCATTAGATTTCTGAAATAAGGTAAAATTACACAGAGGATATTGCCTGTTATTTTTACAAATATTGTATTTATCTTATCAAGAGAGCTTTGAGGATTGATATTTCACATGTGGCTTTGCAACAAGTTCACAAGATGATATCACAAAATATAATTGATAAATTCTGACATTTCACAGATATTATGTAACAAAACATCTTTGTTCCACCATCTATCAATAAATAAACTTATAATATAAAAATAACTTTTAAGGTGAATAGTAACAATTATATAATTGCATATAGTAAGTGTTTTGATAAGATTCAAATTCCTCCTTTATTTATTCAATGCCTAAAGAAACATATTGCAGAAAACACAAATGATACGCCAACATTTTGCAAGAGATGGTTAGAGACCAAACTAAAAGAAAACCCCACAATTTTTTGTACTATCAGGGGCCATAATTCACGAAATTTGAACTCAACCGACATTACAGTGTAATGATGATATATTCGAAGGGTTTTTAAATCGGATAATAATTGTGACCTCTAGAGGGACTACAAGCTAAAAACTCAATTTTTCGTACAATCAGGAGCCATAATTCAGGAAGTTACGATCCACTATGTGCGAGTTTGGGTTACAAACATGCATTTCAAAATTTATAAAAATCAGCTTAAAATTGTGACCTCTAGAGTGTTCACAATCTAAAAACGTGATTTATCGTACAATCAGGGGCCATTTTTCATGAAGTTATGGTCCGATACATGCCAATATTGATAGGAACCGAGATCTTTGGGAGATAGACCTATATTTCAAGTTTCGTTACAATCAAATAAAAATTGTGATCTGTAGAGCGTCCACAATCAAATTGTGGGACAGGGGTGATAATGAAAATATGGTCATATAAAAATGTTGTAGTTTACAAAAAGTACCTGAATGTAACAAATATTTCATATCTATATAAAGAGAGAATCTTGACGCTTACTTTTGAAATAAAGTTCAAATAATATGATATTATGATTTTATAGTGTCTACTATTCATGAACATGTCAGAAATCTTTTAATTTTTAGCCAAGATCCATTAAAGTTTTGTTTATGTAAAACCCATTTTTGATGGAAGCTTCAATCAAATATTTATTTTGTATACTTACAAAGTTGAGAGGTAGTACAATCTATCAAATGATCCTTTCATAATACACCTGATTTGATTATCATAGATAGACCTACAATATAAATATATACATTAAACTAGTCGATTATATAAACCATATGTTAACATTATTATACACTCTTCTTCCACAACAACTCAACATACTCTATAAGATTACAAGGGACATGCAAAGACAATATCTGTAATACTTTTATCAGTTTTATATACTTTAGATTAGTGTCCTTGTAGAACAGATGTGTAAATAATGGTGCTTTGCCAATCAAACTTTATGGACATGTTCAAAATTTCTGAAATTGGAAATGAAATGAAATGAAATGAGGTTTAACATTCTACTGTTCTGTTCCTAACCTTGGCTAATGAAGACAGGCATACGCCATACAGTGTACTATGAGGGAAATTTTGCCCGGGCAGCGGCACTACGGCCTACTCTTATATCGAATTCCAACTGCCAAAAGATCTTTTACGTGTATGCCAATGTGTACACGGGACCTCAGTTTTTCGTCCCATCCGAACGACTAGACAGCTGTCCTTATTAGGCCCTCCATCCTGCATCACTGACAAGGGGAAACCATGCCAGAAAATCTGAATGAACTTTCTCGGCCAATGCAGTTCTGAAATTGGTGAGTTTGAGGTTTGATTTCATTATCTGTTTTCCGTTGAGCACATGGATTATCTTATTGAGATTGCTTCGTCACATTATTTCTTTAATTACTACACCCACTGCTTTGCAAAAATGGCTATATTTAAGTGTTTACTCAATTTAATAAAACTAAAGCCATCTACTCAGTTTATTGTAAATATATTTTACCGGTTAAAAACTGGTGAAAAGCAAAAGCAACTTCTATTAGAAAATGAAAATGAAGCAAATGTTGACATGCTAGAACCAAGAGAAAAAAAACTAAATAATTATTTCTATGTTCTCACAAAACCATTTTTCTTATGATGTTTCAAAGGAAAAACTTATCTCCAAAAGGCCATAATAGATTACAGTGAATTATTGTTTTATCAGAGTAAAAACAAAATGAAATGAGATTTTCTTTGACTTGTAAAGGTAATAAGGAATATATTTGACAAGTGAAATCAGGCTTTTTTCAAAAGAAAAACACTGAACATTATCACATAATGGTTTAAGAATTTTTCGGGCCCTGATAATACAAAAGTTTGTCTATAAAAATATTTTATACATACTACATAAATTTTTACATTTTACTTTCATTTCCAAAAGGGTGAAAAATATAGAGTATAATATTTTGATTTTCTCTTCAAAATATAACTGGGTATACATATATTCAAATAAGTTTACATGAAGGCATTCTAGATACAAGAATGAAGCGAAACCATTAGCATAGTGTACGTTTTACTCTTTAGCCACAATTGGTCTCTTAGTTTTAAGTGTAAAATTATTACGATTCCTGAACCTGACAAAGTTGGTTCGAACAATCAATGGTTAATTAGTCAAATGAAATGGGTCATGCTTGAAATAACACCAAATAACTAACCCTTGCTACAATTCATAACAATTAAATAACATATCAAAGTGTCATAAATATCTTAAGGGAATAATGGTAAGCATGAATCACCTCTGGAAGGTAAGATTTATTATTGCCATCGTAAATCATGATAGACCAAGCAAAATGTATGGGAAAAAATGCTACTGGAAATTGAGAGGAGAGTAGAGATAGTTTCTAATTTGATGCTTGAATAAAGGAGCCATATTGATGATTCCACAATTTTTTTTCTGGAAGAGATCTTTAAGCATGGCCTATTTTGGTGCTTCACCTTCCCCATACCTAACCTCGTATCCAGTTTGTTAAATACTAAAATATACTTACAATAATCTTAATCTGGGTGTTTCTGTAAATGTAGAGTTATTGATACACGTAATTTTATTACCTCGTAACATTCTACAATAAAGTAAATAATTTTTTCAGAAAGGTGATAAAACAATACATCACTAGAACAGTATGAATATATATAGAAAGAATCTAAATACTAAAATGCATCTTATATGTCGTTAAAGGCATAACTTAATCTGGTTTGAAATTGCAGACAATTGTTAAGAAAGATTAAATTTGTCTTCTGAATGCAAAGGTGCACCAAATAGGGCCTAACCCAGGTTAAAAACTGGCTACCTGTATTTTTCTAATTAAGCTGGCTTATCTTGGCCCTCTGAACACCTTAGCATGAAATATTTTATTGTTTTATTGAAATCTTTGAATTTAAGTAGGATTTATGTGCATTACTAAGTATAACCTGTGACTGTTAGAAGTAAAGACCGGTTTGGTTAGAAAGTGTGAATGCTATGCAATCCTGCTGTCCTAGATTAATATCATCCATGTTCTTCAACTAGCTTGTATATGGCCATCTTGATGGCATATTTTAATGTACACTTATATTTTATTGTGTATGCTTGACTCATACTTCTGATTAGTAAAAAATTTTAACAACACATTTTACATATTTACACTTACAGAGTTTTCACATTTTCTAAACCAGCAAATATTTTCCCAGATAACTGTGTTAAACGGTTATTGGTTAATTGTCTGAAAAAAAAAGAGAGCAAAATTCTTAGACTTTTCAGATCACAACAACCACACCCAGCAAAGACACGCGATAAGGTCTTAGATTATGTGAACCAGAAAGTTTTTAACTTTTATCTTAATCTTTTTCTAACTCAAACCTAAATACCATTAAATTTCAAAATACTTTCAATGATTACAATCATTATGTCTACTTGAATTAAAAAAAACTCCTGAAAATCATAAACAATTCAGGCAAATCATTTAGAATCTAGAGACCAATAGGGAGAGTCTATAACTATATCTAACATAAACAAACAAACAATTTGTTTTAAAAAGTGTGAGAATCCAATAACAGATAAATCAAACTTCTCATAAATTTGTAAAACCAGAAAAAAGTGACATTTATTTCCCTTATTATTTATGTTAATAAAATATTAATGGAATACCACCCATATATCCCAATATGCCTTTTTTTCTCCATTTTCTCTTACATGTTTGTTATGATAAAAAAACAATTCAAAATATCTGTCTTATTTTGATTTGATTAAAAATCAATAAATCAATAACCATTCACTGTAAATAATTACTGTTAAATTTTGTTAATTTCACTGTAAATAATGGCTGTTAAATTTTGTTAATTTCACTGAAAATAATGGCTGTTAAATTTTTTATTTTCACAAATATTTCCAAAAACTTCCAACACCTGAAAAATTGACATTGAATTGAATAATTATAATTACGTCAGTGTGTGAAGCGAAAGTTGTGCATGGCATAAAAATATAGAGAATGCTTTACAGTAGAGTATAATAAAATATAACAGGGAATTAATGTCACGAGATTCAGGTCAAATGTAATCCCTGTGACTGATGTGATATAAAACCCAACATGAAGCTAATGTGACCTAGGTGTGTTATTACATTAATCATAAAACATTCACTATTCTATAAAATATATCATGGCTACTTCATGAATTGTAATTTAGAGTGGCTTGGTGGCTGAATGATCTAACATGTGTGCTTTAGATAATAAGGTCTGTCATTGAGTCAAGTGACATGGTTTCAACCCCAGGCTTCCTCTCACTCCTAAAGATCACAAGGAAAATAATTTAAGTATATATATATATATGTCAGTCCCAAAATAACCTAGTTTATGAGGAATGCCCTCTCTATCTTAATGTTTAATTATCACCAATAATATAATCATAACTAATTATGGTACTAGCTTTAAAATGTAGCAGTTGCCCTTTAAGTGTTTGTCAGCGTGCTACGTAAGTAAGTAAAACAAGACTGAGCAAATTGATTTGTTTGATAAAGAAGAATTTAATCATAGAATGATTGTATTGTTTAGTCTGGGTACAATCTACACCCTTTCATTATTCTAGTTTTGGCAACAAAGTTAATAGTTATACTTACAAATCCGTTAGTTGACTGGCTCCAGCAAATGTACCTTCTTCTATTATTTCTATCTTATTGTCATTTAATTCTCTAGAAACATAAACACAAACAGTAGACAAATATACAGACTCAAAACATAGAATAGTACATCCAAATATTATACAATTATTATTAACCATACATTATATCCACACATTAATGTATTAGATGGCAGTCCAAATCAGATTATTCCAAACTTTTATTCAATCCATTTGGTTATTTACTTCACTACATCACAGTTTAAAGAAATGTGTTATCAGGAGTGCTAAGCATAGGCGTACGGGCAAATTTTTGATTGAGGGGGGGCGGGGGCGGTGGTGGTTGGTGCCCAAAAAATGTAGTTAGGTTCTTAGTATGTTACATAATAATAATAAATTCGCTGTTAAATTGGACACATTCAAGAACACAATATTTTTTTATACAACTTTTACAAAGTACAATAATTGTGTGCCCAAATTTTCCCAGCTTTTCCCAGCATTTGGTGCCCAAAATGGGGTGGCGGCCGCCCCCCCCCCCCCCCAGCTCGTACGCCTATGGTGCTCAGTAATGCTCAGAATTTTATTGGTCAACTCTAGATTTACTGACTAATCAAAACCCTCAAAAGATACTTAGAACTTGAGATCCTGAACTCCTGAGAACATTATGTAAAGATATCTTGATTTCATGATACTTATGAGGGATGTCCAGATACGATCATCCGATATCTGTATGTCAGGAAGTCTTGAACTAAGGATCTTAAATTCTATAACAGATCTTGAGCCAATGATCTCAGATTCTATTACAGAAACTCTTGTGCTAATTAAGTCAAGATCTCAGATTGTATAACAGATCTTGAGCTAACTAAGTCAAAAATCTTGAAATGTCTTGATATTAGTTCTCAAAATTTCAAAATATTAATTAGGGGTCTGAGATGTTGAAGTGAGGTTATTAAGATAATTATGTTGCAGCATCTCAAGATAGAATATCACAAGATTTCCAGCTGTTTATGTTAATATCATGTTATGTGTACATTTCATCGTGTCGTGTTGTAGTTTAAAAAATAAATGTATACAAACGGTGAAGTAGTAAACACTGTATCTCCATTTATTATGTGTATAAAGCCTGTTATACAAAAAACCTATTTTGTTCAAAATAATGCACATTATTTTCAAACAAGTGAATTGGTCTTATGTTTACAAATGTACAGCTGGGAATACTTAGATTTGAACATTTCTACATCACAAGTATAGAAAACATTAAATATATTATAGCAGGTTTTTCTACCAAATATTCTATTGTAAAAATGTTCTATGTTTATTTTTGAAGTCACATACAAGTATTTCAATAAAGCAGATTGTACATTGTTTCAGTGGTAGATAAAGTAAAATGTCCACTAGATGACCTTTGACTGTTGTTCAGTAACAGTATATAATAATAATACTTACAATACTTGTAGATTACTGAGCTTACTAAACAACCCTTCTGCTTTTACTCTTGTTATTTCATTGTCTCCTAGTTTCCTGTAAAATACATTATACATTACGTATATGTGTGGTGTTTTCTTTGTTTTGTATTTTTGAAATTTATTTGAATTACAAAATATGTATTATGTAAAAGCTAAATCTGCCTATTTTTTAGGTCTTTTATCAGGCTTCAAGTATTATATAAATTATTATTTAGGCATTTATTCACATGACAAGCCCATTATCAAGTCTTTAGGCCATTGGATGGCAGAGATATTAAATGGATTGGAACACTTGCATCATTTAATAATATAATGTTAAAATGGATAATCAAGTCTTTGTTTATTATTTTATGAATGAAAACTATTTACATCAAAGCTTCAAGCACTCTTAACTTGGCTCAAAATTTTCAATATATTCAGAACATCAAGCAGAACATTTAAATCTTACATAGTGCATCTTTAATGGTATACATTTAAAATTTGCTTATGTAATTATAAAAGAAACAGTAAAGTGTAACTTACAGCTCTGTAGTGTACATGGGTAAGAACTGGGGTAGTGTTTTTAGACCACGTCCTGAACAATCAACTGTTGTACCTATACATGTACATTGTTGTGGACACTCTCGATCTATCATACAATTACCAGCATTAGCTGTACGATGTACTTCAGCTCCTTTAAATAAAACAAATATTTCAACAACGATTATAATATTGTTTTCTAATAATAAATCTGAATAGTCATCAGTTATGAATAAAATGTGAATAGATGTAAAGTTATCTGTGAAAGAAAAAACATATAAGAAGCCTTTCCATAACATCCACTTTAAGTATTCCTAGCTTCAACTTTAGGACCAGCTTTCTCATAATGGTTTTTAGTCCATGTACATTGAAAGCACTATCCGGCTAGGGACAAAACAACTCATGATATTTACTTTGTATGAACGAAAAGCTTGACAGCTCACATTCTGTAGATGGACGGATGACAAAGGCCTTGAAGTTGATGGCTCAATGGGCTTAAAAAATGGCAAAGGGTTACCATGCAATCCAGTGTCTTGCCTCTACTTGGCTAACTTTTCGTATTGTAATATCTTATTTTGGGGGAATATTAATTTTTTAAATATAAGTTGTGTTATGACAAATATTGGTTTGACTATATCTAATCCTTTTTTTCACTGTTTTTTATTGGAGGTTGTCCTACATATAAGACACATTAATGGAAGATAACCGATGATTAATTCTTGGCCTTTAAAGTACGATACCTTTTAGCCAAAACATATCAGAGCATGCGTCAGTCTTACCTTTGCACTTAAATTTGTTTGGTTTTATAGATGCTATTTTTTTACGACTCATACGTCTTGGAGATTCACATCGTGCACCACTAGTTTCAATAGGATTTATCTGTAGATATTTGGCCATCCAGAATAAGTTACAATCACATATAAATGGATTCCTTGCCAAGTGCCTGAAAAAAAATTATATCTATTTGCCTCAGATAGAACTATATGCTCCATTCTTTTCTTTTGACATCAACAATCTATCTACAGCTTTGTGAGAAAGGACAAGAATTTTGCCAGGACAGCATCATTCAAATCCAATCCAGGACAGCATCATTCAAATCCATACATTAAAATTCAATATAATATCTCCACCATGCCAGGGTGCTGGCTTTACATACACTACATTTCAAACATTTCCATCCAACAAATTTCTGTTTGATGACTTTAAGGGATGTCAATTTTTCTTAATGAGATCATTATAGATAAAAATTAAAAAATCAACTTACAATGTTTGAATGTTTTTCAATGGTGTAAATGAACCATTAGCTAATGATTGGATTTTATTATCATATAAAGATCTGAAATAAAATATAATTACCTATAATTTCAATAACGTTTAAAAAGTTAAGATGTACAACCAAACATTCTATATCAATAAAAACAATTCCTTTAATGACAGAACATTTCTGTAGCATCATTATATCTTTAGATGATATAAAACGCCTAAGGCAAAATTTTCTCTTCAAAAACAAATTCTAAATTAAGAAAAACTATCAATCTAATGCCAACATTACTGCATATTTCAAACAAGGTAACATGTAATTAACTTGTTACCATGCTATATGTGTATCAATCCTATAGAATGTGTAAATAATTTAGTAATTACAGTTACTATTAACACTAGTTTATATTATTTCCTCAGAATTCTTCAGGTTAAGTGATTCAGGAAAAGGCTTTAACTATATTAATATTACAATTACCTGCATATTAAAATATTTTAATCATTTCCTAAACAATCCAAAAATAATGCTAAATTTTGTAGCTACAAGGAACATTTACAAGGGATGTAAAAAATATACCTACAGTATGTCAATTTTGCACTGGCAAGTTATCATCCAATTTTTATTGATTGACAGAAAGAAAATAAAGTTAAAATGAATATCATTTAATTTGTTTGGATATATGCCCTTCTTCAGGTAAATAAAGACCCCAATTAATTACATACAGTTTTAAAAGAAAGTTACTAAAAATGGCATTATTTGGATAAAATATACTAGTTCATCCTAGTCTGAGAGCCTGAATCTCAATTAAAGATCCAACAAGGTTGATTCTACTTACAATAAATTTAAACTGTGTAAATCTTTAAAAGCGTCTTCTCTTACACATGTTATCTTGTTAGCATTCAACAATCTATAATATATAATAACATATTATAACAAATACAATAATACTCGACCAATACAAGCAGTAAAAATTGCAGATAGCCCCACTTAGAGATTCCAGTAATGAAAGAAAGAGAGAGAGAAATGGGGTTTAACGTCCATGACACATCATTTCTGGACTAACATATCTTTTAATTTCATTTTAATTATTTGCTTTTCCGTAGGGGTCTATAGCAGTGGAAGAAACCGGAGGAACTTGATAAAACCCACGAGGTCACATACCAGCTGGGAATCGAAACACCATAACCTGACTAACAGACCTTATGAACCAAAGTGCACATGTTAGACCACTCGGCCACCAAAACCCTCCAGAAAATAAAAGCAGTCAAACACAGACAAATTTAGGGTTCCAACTTTGCACCATAAAAGTTACTATTGGAAGAAGAGTGAATTGGGTGTTTTTTTGTAAACCAATGGAGATGATCCAGTGAATAATTAATGAAATGCATCCATATTCAAATATATCCACAGTCTCATGTAATATAAGACCATAATACCAATTTATTAAAATAAAATACAAAGATGTAAACTTGATATCATTTACAAATTATTTTGGCATAGTTTAGACCAATGACTTGAGCAATAAATAATCAATGAATTTCGTTCAAATTGAAATCTATGGCCAAATATCAAGTTTCATTAAAATCAGATGAAAAGTGTTTTCTATATCTCATTTACAGGTTATTTTTGGACATAACTTAGCAATAACTTAAGCAGTAAATAATTAATGGATCTTGCTCAAATTCAAACTAACCTGAGATCTCTTGGATATAAGTGCACATAACAAGTTTCATTAAAATCTCATGTATTATAATTCACAAACTACTTTTGACCAGGAAATAAATAATAAATCTGGCTCAAATTCAAACCTGCATGACCACACACCAAGTTAATGCTATTTGTGCCTTTGTCAAGAGCAATAACACAGTGAATGATAGGACAACATTTGTTGAAATTTTTCAACCATTTATGGGCAGGGTGAAAAACCTAATTCAAACCATCAAATAGTGATTTGACGATTCTTTAGTATTTACTTTGGCTCATCCACTTAATCAAAAGCAATCTGAATTTGATTGTAGTTAAAAGTTCCATTCGAAATCTTCCAAAGCAATAACCTTAATCGGTTATCATTAAATGTATTATGTGAAAGAAATATACTGTGTTCAAAATGCAAAGCAACAAGGTTATTTCTTCAAAATTTAATTTTGGAACAAATTTGACTTACAGAGAGAAAAGTTTATAAATATTTGAGCATTTGACTGCCAAAAACATAAGAGAGATAAATTAGTTGAGTGAAGTTTCTGTACATCATATAAGATATCATATACATTATATGGCACCTGTTATACTTCTAAATAAATATAATAAATATCTTATATATATATATATTATAGATAGAATAGTTGGTATAGAGAGATATCAACCTCTCAACACCTGAAGAAACCTACTTAATTTACCCTATATATGAAATGGGTTTAATATCCTACTTTTCTGCACAGACTGGGATTATGAAGATGGGCATACACCATACAGTGTGCTATGTGGGAAATTTGGCCAAGACAGCAGCATTATGGCCTACTCTTATTTCAAATTCCAACTGTCACAGGTTCTTTTAAGTGCACGCCAATGTATACACAGGACCTCCATTTTCATCCCATCCCAACAACTATACATTGTTCCTTTTCACGCCCTTCGTCCTGCTCCAATGACATGGGGAACACACATCCAGAAAATCTGAGGAACTTTCTCGGTCAACCCCTGGAGCAAACCAGAGACCTCCTGGTTAGCGAGCCAACAGCTTACTCCCCTCTTCCCTTTCATGTTTCACAAAAGTTAGAGAACATTCTTTAAATTTTAAACAATTACAACCAAAATGTCCTGTCTTTATTATAAAATATAGCTTTAATGATTAAACATGCAGTAAAGACTTGAAATTAAATTCTATTAAAATTTCTATGAGTTTACATATCCGGTGTGTGGTATTACTCAACAGAGGTATTCTTGTAAGATTGTAACAAACTACCTGAGTTCTCATATAAACATATCTAGATAATTATCTTTATCTTCAAATTTCTCAACATTTTATCATATAATCTATAGGTTATCAAATCTTCAATTATTGTCAGGATATCATCCTTTCATGTTACACTAACCAATATTTTACCTATTAGTACATATCGGTACTAGTGATTCAAGATGGTGGTCCTTGTTTATAGCATATTTTCAAGATGATAGACTTTTTCTACTATTACTGCGCAGTAGGTTTTCAAAATGACAGAATTACCATACTGCATAATTGAACAAGAATCAAAAAAGCAAAAAATTATATGATTTATTACTGGTTAGTTATATCAACCAAACCCAGCAAAAATTAAATATTGTCCAGATGTTAAATGAAAATCGAAGGTGTAATGATATCTTGTGTGATATATTGGTTCTGTTTTTGAAGTAGGTAATATGGTAATAGATAATTGTAATTAGTTGATTAGTGTCTTATTTTGTATAATGTCGACTGGTTGTGCATTTGTATTTTCGAGTCTTATATCAGATTTGTATGGCGGGATTTAAGGGCCAAAACTAAATGTATGTTGAAAGTGTTATTATACATCATAGAAAATACAAAATACATGTCCTTTGACCGTTGACCTCAAGAACTCTAGATGCAAAACACAAAAGACAAATGTCATTTTGCAAAGTTGCTTTGTTGAAGTGTGTATTGTGAAAAGGTTGTGCACATTAGTGGATTTTTTCCAAAAAACATTTGTAATTTGACATTTGACTTTTACTTTAACGGTATTATGTATTTATCATTATAAACGACATATGTATTTTGCATCTTAGGTATTAGGTATTTTCTATGATGTATAATAACACTTTCAACATACATTTAGTTTTGGCCCTTAAATCCCGCCATAGATCTGTGTCCGTTTGCTCACAGATGAGATGCTCATCCACTGAATGCCTGACAATATTTAATCAGACTTCAGAGAATCTCGATGTCAGACTTAAGAGAAACTCGATGTCTAATAGCAAACGATTATATGTCTTCATACTGAACTTTATCTGTGGTATGACGACAAGCAGACATGTATTACATGGCATTTCAGGGCAAAATAATATTTTATGCAGTATCTGTGAATGGGATTGGGCTGCAGGAATAGTCTATGTAAACCCCCATTTAAAACATGACAGTCTGATAGGACATTAATTAAACAAATTATATTCACACATTACAGATATTTGAATGACATTGACAGTGTTAATAATCTTGAAGGATATAAGTCACCCACGGTCCCGCTTCACATTTTACTAAACAACTCTATAGAACTTCAGTGTATATAATAACTTATGTACATTCGTTAAGTGGGCTTTACAACTGAAAGTGATATATTACTTTAATTAGATACCATCACCTAAATTCTATGAAATTTTGTATAGCAACACAGACAACTTGAGTGCGTTTCTGTGTCTCTGAAGGCTCTTGCTTTAATTAATCATGATTTGTCTCCTGTATATTGTAATACAGTGTACAGCATACTTGTATTTGGAAGTATAACCTAACCCTTGCCATTATTGCAAGGTTTTTTCCTACTACATACTGATCAATGTCTTGAAGTTGCTTTAGTGAATCACTCTCAAATATACCTTAGTCTAAACCAATGCTTCACAATCTTCCGATGTGATATTATAAGCTGTTTCATTTTCTCACCTAATACTTTTCTATTTTCAGTGAAATCATTTCCATGAATACAATTGACTAATCTATCAATAAGGCTTCTGTTACGTTAAGCTTGGGTAAAATTTTTAAATTATATTGTGACTTCATACATATGAAGCAGGAGTGAATGAACTTTCTTATCAATTAAGACAAAAGTCATTTATTACACAATGAAGTTTTGATAATCTCCACTAGAGCCACTAATATTATAATGAATAGGTTAAAGATATTTGAAAATGAATGCAAAAAGTATAACAAAGAAATTCAAATAACTTTGTAGTAATCAAATTAATACAGTAGGCTACGGTAATAATATATAGCCAAAATCAACTTATACATTGTTTCCTCTTTTTTACTTTTTTTCCAACTTGTAAACTTGTTTTGTTTAAGCGTTATTTTTGATACAGCACGCCAATTGTTTTGCCAATTAGTAAATGTTCTGATTGCCTAATTAAATCTTGCTATGGAATATGAAAGCATTTTTGCAACTATGTTTAATTATGTAAAAAAATTCTAGTGCTGTAAACTACTTTCTTCTTGATAACCTTGTTCTCCATTTTCAGCATTCAACTCTTAATTATTAACATCCTGGGAAGCCTTATATAATTCCTGATCACTAAGACATTGATTGATCGGATTTGTTTGTACATCAGACAAGACTATCATTTGTATTGTATGTACACATCTTAACTTGTCATGTACTATCTGGGCAATACTTCAGTCATGTGAAGTGTAAGTCAAAGGACATATGCATGTTCAGGTAGGAATGTTAACATGTCAATATTTTAAATACAATGTAGATTAGTGGTTTTTAACTTTTCAAGAGATTGACGATCAGTATATAAATGCAGTGAAACGAAATGAGGTTTAAAGTCCAACTTTAAGAAGTAAGAATCTTACTACAATAAAATTAATTTTAAGGACCAAGAATCTTCCAATAATTTAGAGAAAGAGAGAAATGGTGTTTAACGTCCACTTGACAAAAACTGGTAACATATGGTTCAATTTTATTTCAATAAGTCGATTGCATGTAGGGGACTTTAGCAGTGGGAGGAAACCGGGGGACCTAGAAAAAAAAACCCAAGAGGCTGGACAGGCGACTCTACTCCTTGTCACGTACAACCTGGAAATCGAAACCACGTCAGTTGACTCCATGACAGACATTATGATACAGCATGGACGCGCTAACCATTTGGCAATTCAACCCCCCATAAGGTGAGCAAGAATCTTTAGGATTAAGAGTAAGAATGTAACAATAAATGCAATTCATAAGGTTAAAGAGTGGGATTCTTACAATAACTGTAGTTTATATGGATTTCTGTGTATTTTATTTTGTTTATTTTATTTTGTTTATATTTTAATGTAGGTAGAACTGTTTCATAATTGAAAAGTGCATCTGACCATTTCCTAGTGAAAGATTGCACTGTTAAAGGTTGTAAATCACATCAGATAGGCTGCTAATGAAGGTGATTGTGGCTGCCTTGTAATGCTGGTTTTATCTGCTTCATTCGACACCATCGATCCATCTGTACTCCTCCAGAAATTAAATGGTGAATTTAGAATATCGGAAAATGCTTTGAATTGGTTTCAGTCATACCTTATTGGGTGCTCGCAATCTGTACAAATAAGTAAATGAATGGAGTAACCCAAGGTTCCGTCCTTGGACCACTGTTGTTTGTGTTGTATACTGTAAGGGTCGCCAGTATTCTAAAGAAACACAATTTTCTGTATCACTGCTATGCAGATTAACATTAACTATATTTTTATCTTGTGATATGTGGTGAGCTAAATGAGACTTGAGCATTAGCTTTGATGGATCGGTGTGCAATATAAGAATTTACTATTATTATTATTATTGTTATTATATAACAGTTTCAATAATAAAATATTAAATAATAATGATAATATGCTTAATAATTATAATTTCTAAATATAAGAATACTTACAATAATTGTAATTTACGTAATCCACTAAATACACCAGGTGGTAGATCCACTATTTTATTACCATATAATACACTATAATAGATAATGTGCAATGTAAATATAAAAACAGTAGTTTATCTTAATATCCAATGTTTCATACCTTAATATACTATTTATCTTTATGCATGTACATATCTGAGTTTTTTCATCTGTTTACAGAAATTATGTCATCCCTCTAGTCTTTGACACACACCTACATTCATAATTATATTAGCAAGATTTACCAGACCAGAATAGCAGTATAGTTTAGTAAGATTTAATTAGTCTGAACTATATTTTTCTTGATGCATTCTATTCCTTAAATTGAATTATGACCACTCCCAACCCCTCACCTTACATATATCGGTATACAAATTATACTTACAGTGAACTAAGAGAATGTAATCCAGCAAAGGCATCTGGCGCTAAATAAGCTATCTGGTTATTGCTAAAATCTCTGAAAGCCGTTAAAAGAAAATCATAAATATAGCACATCATGCACATCATTTGACGATTGGTTAGCCAGGATTTGGTATCACAGAGTCAAAGTACCTAAATTTTCCAGAGAACTGATTGAGAAAATGAGAGATATTAGTTATCGGGGTCTTTTGCAGCTTAAATCTTTTTATGCATCTGAAGTAAAGTCCAGCTAATTACGTTTTTAAAGGCCTTTTTACTTCTAATGGAAGCCAATTGTCCGTAGGCTTATCTGTGAGAGAGCTTCACATAGCCGATAGTAAATCAAATGACATGTTTAGCGTTACAAGGTGAAAAAATCCTAATAATTCTTAGTGAAGTTTGTAATACAACCACATTTTAACATTGGTGCATAAAAACTGCAATAAGATAAAACTTACATTCTTCTGAGTTTCTTCATATCTTCAAATACCCTGGATGGTATCTCTGTGATATGATTCTGCTCCATTCGACTTAAAAAGAAAATAAAAACATAATGATTTAATCCCATCTGAAACCCATTCTCTATTCATTACCGGACAACCCTCAGTAGGGCTGAAAAGGTTGTTGTTGCATATCATTACAGAGTTTTTCAGCCAATTGGGCACTTCTCTGTATATTTATGGGGTTTGTCCTCTCATAACCTGAATGCCTCTTACTAGATTTGAAAACAAATACATTAAGGACTGTAACCTTTATCATGCTCACAAGCTTTTTTGAATGCTGAATATCAATACATGTAAGCGCATAAAAATATGAGAAAAATCTACTGAATAGTATGATCTCTATGCCATTTGATCAGAATATTATAAATATAAAAAAACAATTTAACGATTTCTAGCTAAATCATGGAGTCAAAAACGAGTGGTAGAAAACTTTATTTATGTATTTATTTCCAATATAAGTATTAGAAATTGTGTAGTAAATGTAAAGGCTGGTTTGGTCTAGTTTAGTCTTACTTACACTACATTAGTTACTATTATCTTAACACATTTCTATCTGTATTACATTTAATAAACATATTATTACATGCAATATTACAGTTCTCCTCGCATTTCTCTAATTAAATATGATATAACTTTTCTTATTTTACTAACAAAAGACAGTATAAGTATATTTATGGGCATTGTATGACATGGTCTTATAATTGATAAAACAAGCCAACAGTGAGGCTGATGTCCCCCGCCGAAATAGGAAAATAATTAGAGGACACATATAAATTTATCACAAATTATCTTTTACAAAGTATTGAACAATCAAACAGTATATCTTTACTTATAGTCTAACAATCAAAGTAGGAGAGTTATTGTTTTCCAAAGTCTCGACCAATCAAATTGCGTATCGCTCTGCTTACCCTGAGCAGAAAATGCTCATTATCAAACTTAGTCAAGGTATTACTGTAATGAAACTATACACCAAGTTTCATCAATCTCACTTAATTAGAACTAAAGTTATCGTGTCCCAAAGCATCAACCAATCAAATTGCTTATCTCTGCTTACCCTAAGCGGAAAATGCTCATCTTCGAACTCCATCAAGGCATTGACCTAATCAACACATACACCAAGTTTGAACATTCTAGCTCAATTAGGAAGAGAGTTATCGTGCCCCAAAGTATCAACCAATCAAATTGCTTATCTCTGCTTACCCTAAGCGGAAAATGCTCATCTTCGAACTCCATCAAGGCATTGACCTAATAAACACATACACCAAGTTTGAACATTCTAGCTCAATTAAAAGTTATCGTGTCCCAAAGCATCAACCAATCAAATTGCTTATCTCTGCTTACCCTAAGCGGAAAATGCTCATCTTCGAACTCCATCAAGGCATTGACCTAATCAACACATACACCAAGTTTGAACATTCTAGCCCAATTAGGAAGAGAGTTATCGTGTCCCAAAGCATCAACCAATCAAATTGCTTATCTCTGCTTACCCTAAGCGGAAAATGCTCATCTTCGAACTCCATCAAGGCATTGACCTAATAAACACATACACCAAGTTTGAACATTCTAGCTCAATTAGGAAGAGAGTTATTGTGTCCCAAAAAGTGTGACGGACAGACAGACGGACGGACAGACAGACAGACGGACGGACAGACAGACAGACAGACGGACAGACAGACGGACGAACCCATTTTAATAGTCCCCTGCTTTCTTCGAAAGGCGGGGGACAAAAAAAGCATGAACTGCTTATAGAAAATACAGGATTTAAATCTCAGGAGAATATTCTAATGGACAATGTCCCTTAAAACTGAAATACCCTAGCTTTAAATATATACAATACTATAGGAAGAACGTATGTATATAGGTGGAATTTATGTTGATATACTGCAAGCAGACAGCCTATTATGTTATCTAAACAAGCAAACCATATGGGAGGTACCTATTAAAACATTATTTCTTGCATGGTTTAAGTTTGTTAGCTGATATTAAGCCTTCTGCCTTATAAATAGAAGCTGGATCTATAGTGAAAACTTTACACCAATGACATTATGTTATCTCTAATTGAACAAATGTTTTAACACAAATTGTTTGTTCATCAATAAACTACATTCCTCAAGTATTATTCTTATCTAAATTACAATTCCTGCCAATAAAACAAACACATCTCTTAAAACTTTAAAGAGTGGTCTCAGCAGCACATTTAAACTGATTTAATGTTAGTATGAATTAAATGAGATGGTCCATCTGTTTCTATGTTTTAGTGATAATGAGGAATGAAAATTTCAAGATACCCCTTCACCCAATTCACATACTACTGTAAAGATTACCAAAGGAAAAAAGAAAATACATATAGCCAGGCAACTTATACAATTTTAAGAAGATCAGATGACAACTGTATAGCCCCCAACCAAAGGGCTTCTTATTCTGATATAGCTAGCTAGACAACCTACTAAAATTTCAAAACAATCAGATAAAAATTCCATCCTCTAGGGCATTAACAACGTTTCATAACAAAGGGGAATAACTCGAAAATCTGAAGATAAAAATCAATGAAAATAGCCTTTTTCTTCTTATATAACTAGAAAAGTCTTTAGTCTTTTTTTTTTTTTTAAATATTGGAAAAAAATTGTAGCTTCTATATATAGTGTTAACAGATGCACGGACTGAAAATGAAAACAATAGAAATACATCAGCACGACTAGACCTGTCAATATTGTGTCTTCAAGTTAATAAATAGTCATGTTTTGAGTGAATTGGTCAAATTAGTTCATTTTGTAGTCAGAGATATTTGTTAATCATGTAATTACTCTTTCCTGGGAAATCACAAACACCTTATTATAGGGTAGCTTATTATGATCAAGGCACTAAGGTTCGGCTAGCTGTCATTTGTCATTGTAATCTAATATTTCTTCAATAATAAAATTAGGCGGACTATTTCTTTGAATACCATCTTTATTAACCTCACATCAAAAACTATCATATATAATGGTAGAGGAATTAATATATTATCTACAATCAAATTAACATCTAACAATCTTAGCACTGCCTCTCTTTCTTACTATAGTTTGTAAATATTACTATATTTGTTTAATAATAATCATGTTAGCTTCAAATACGTTAATCACAATCTTGTCAATCTAAAGATAAAGGCAATATTTCTTTCATCTATCAATGGTCTGTGTGTGATGACTTACAATAAGTGAAATCACATGACGTCTACAGACATCTTAAGATCAATATACAAATATGTTTAATATGAAGAAATAATCAATATGTAATCCAGGAAGTCTTAGATCAACTTTCTCTAATTTGGCATTTGATATAATTTCTAACAAATTGTAAATCAGTTCTCCTTACATTGATTAGGTGATATTTGATAAGTTATTATTTTTATCCCAAATATCATATCATATCATTTTGGACAAATTCTTCATCAAAAACTATTTACAGAAAATGAAAATCAAACATTGAAGTTCTGAAGTATCTGATTAACAGTATTTATAGTTAAGTTAAAATCTATGATTCATGTTATCATTGCTATCAATGGTTCATGGGGTTGTTATTTGGCACATTTTTTCAAACTTAATTTCCAATATTAAATATGAGAAATCTACAAGTGTAGCACATTGTAACACAATTTTTGGCCATTTGCAAAGCAAATACTGTGTATGGACCAGATTTTTAGGTAGGTAAAAATCTTAATCTGAAGCATAAACAATAAAATATTTAATCTAAAATGAAACATCAGTGAAACATAGTTTTACATTATTCAAAATCACAACTTGGCAAACTCTAAATACAGAGTGACAAAACATTTTAAAAATCTTCACCAAAGAAATATCTTGTAGAATTTCTCTCCAAATTAGTCAAGGATATAATATAGAGATTAAAGTTTACATGTATACCACCCAAAATTGATCATTATTATCATAACTAATCTACTTTCTTTCTTATTCTTATATTTGTGTTTAATTATGGAACAGTATGTAAAACCGGGTTCTTTTATCCCTTTTACACAAATGCCAATCTATTAACCACCCCCTAGTGTGTAGCTAATAACTCTACCTGCCATCACATTTGGCCTTAAGATCGCACCAGGTAGTTTTATGGTTAGAGAAGTGAAGGTGATTATTACTGGACTATAATTATTGAGGTAATAATTGTTTATGGATCATCAGATTCATATATCTGTGTTCCTTTCAACTTGATGATAGATATAGGTTAAATATACACTAGAGTACAATTACTTACATTTCTGTGGCTGTTTCAGGAATATTATCAGGTATCTGAGACAAGCCTTTATTACGACAATCAATGACCCCTTCTGTACATGTACATTTATGAGGACATAAATTGTCAACAATACAGTGCTGATTATGGTGGTCGTCTCGAACTCCATCTGTAATAAAATTAAAGAGAACAATAAAGGAAGAATTTATTAAGGGATCACAGAAGTGCTAGACTATCAATGTAAGAATTGGGTGATAATTTAACAAGCAGAAGAAAAGGAATTGTGTAAGGTTCTGTTGAAAAATATATATGGTATTTCAAACCAACAGATAAGAAAGTAGTCACCATTTTAGATCTACAAATTACTAGTATATATCTCACTAGTAATTAGCTTGAATCTGTTTGGCGATAAACTCCACAATATCCCTTAGTGCCTGGATAGTCATGCATACTACCTGCTCAAGATTATCAAGCCACTCATACAATTGAACAATGGATTCCTTATAAAAGTTAGGTAACTCTGTTCAATAAATCTAGTCATCACTTCCAAACAATTTATCATTTGGAGCTGAAACTTTTAGACAAGCAATTTGGGTCATTTCTTTTGGCATTGAATTTGTATGCTGTAATGCACTTTTTATCAACAAGTACCTTGTGAAATCTGGGACTATTCCTTTCAAATTAAACAAATTAGGACTCTTGATGCAGCCAGTGTTGTTTGCAAAATAAAATGAAGACAAGTACCTTGATTAACCTGCTCTTTTAATTTAAGAATCAAGCAAATTAAATTTTAAAAACTATCAAAAAAATAAAGTTTAAAAAATATTCCTCTATGACCAGCATACCTGACAAGCCATCTGAATTTACAGTAAGACGCCAGTAAAGTAGATCATTCTCAAGTTCAGAAAAGAAATCTGGTACTGGAAGAGTAGACATATCAACTGTAGACTGGATCATCATGTTATTGTACAGTTAGTAAACTGTTTTTTAGAAACATGCAATGATTAATCCAGTTCAATTGATATACATGTAACTATGTGAGTAGACCTAGAGGCTGTAGAAAGCAGGGTTTATTATTATTTTGGCCTTTCTAGCAGTTTTCACAAATTGGTAAAAGAAATGAGAGAATTATGTGGAGAGTTGATTTTTTGCACACATTTAATAAAAAGTTTCATAAATATAGTCTATTACAAATTCTTAGTAGAAGGAAATTGGTTATAAAAGTCCAGGTACGACCAGGAAATTGCATTTGTTTTATTGTATTCTACACGGTCTCCCCAGTTCTTACGATATCATAATTATATGATGGTAAAAACTTGACATTGTTTGAGGGATGCTCATCATTGGAATATATATTTTGTATTTTTAAACTGTAAATAGACAATATTAAAGATTTCTAGTACTTTAGACAACTCAACAATAAATACACACATCACACATTTTTCTTAAATATTTGTATTTTTTTTAATAGAATAAAAAAAATCACTTCATCTTCACATCTAATTAAAATCAAATAACTACAGTAACTAACCAACCAATAATAAACAATTCAAACATCACACATCTTGTCAAATAAAAACCAACAAAAACACTTTAATCGATAAACAACAAAAACCCAATGCCCACAAGGTTGAATATGTGTTTTTTCAAATCTAGGTTTACAAAATAGCATGCCTTCATGGTGTTCCTTGAAAACTTTTCTTCAAATGAGGATAAGAATTTAAACAATGTGTGAGATTTTTGGGTGTATCTATAACAGCATCAAATTTAACCTAACTCAGAAAATCAAGGTTTTAAATTTAAAACAAATTGTAGCTGATCTTTGTACATGTACTTGTCACATTTGTATGTTCCATTACAGATAAAGTGTTGACAGACTTTAAATCTATGTTAAATATGATGTTTAAGGCTGTATATATATATTTCTGTAAAGTATGAATATAAATGTATATAAAGAGCTAGATTCCAAAAATTCAATCGCCCATCTTTACACCCATCTTATTGTTTTAAAGTCATTGCATATTATATTTTCATTATTCTATCTTTGGTATTTTGAAAGAAAACACCCTTTTTTGACCCCAAAATAGTGAGGATTTTCATATTTTGGAAACGAGCTCTTTGTTTTAAAAATAGAAAATAATTCAAACAAATATATATATCAATCTTCTGTCAAAATATATTTAATACATAGATTTGTATCTTGTAGTAGTATATTCTATTTGACACTGTAAAACTAAAACTGTGCATCAAGTTAACCCCTTGTGTTTCAAACTAATACAAGTATTTATAAATAGACAAATAAATTTTTTTTTATTCTTTAAGAGGTAATTATCTGATCATGTGTCCATTGCTGGCTGGCTATAATCTTCAGTTTAAAATAATAATTTCACAATTAATATTCTGTACATGGCATACAACATAACTCAGATTCCTATATTATTATTATGTTTCAACGGATTCTGTGTTTTTGAATAGTCCAGTGTGTGAAAGTCTTAAACCACAGAAATTTGTAGCATGAATGGTTGCTAACCCAATTTTTAATATCGCTACCTTAATTTTTAATATGGCTAACTTTATTTTTAATATCAGTTGATACTAGCAAAATTTTTAAGATTTTAAAATGAGTACAGATTTTAGATAGTGAGAAAAGACTAATATAAATTTCAAACATCTAAGCCTTGCCCACATGTCTGAGCAGAATTTTTCCTATTAGTTAAAATTTCCAAAGAAATGAAATGAAATGGGGTTTAATGTCCTACTGTTCTCCTCCGAACTGGGCTAATGAAGACAGGCATACGCCATACAGTGTGCTATGAAGGAAATTTTGCCCGCACAGCGGCACTACGGCCTGCTCTTATATCGAATTCTAACTTTCAAGGGATCTTTTACGTGCACGCCAATGTGTACACTGGACCTTGGTTTTTCGTCCCATCCAATTGACTAGTCAGTTGTCCTTGTCAGGCCCTCCATTCTGCATCACTGACAAGGAGGAACCACGCCGGGAAAATTTGGATGAATTTTCTTGAGTAATCCTGGTATCAAACACCCGACCTGCAGGCTAGCGAGCCAGCATCTTACCCACTTAGCCACCATGACCCCCAAATTTCCAAATAGGTAAATATTTAAGAAGCTGTATATCTTACTTGAGAAAATATCATATTGTCTTACCTATACATTTAAAATCACTTTCTTGTAATTCAGCTAATTCCTTATTTTTCAGATGTTGTGGATTAGCACACTCTGTAAATAAAGCTAATGTTGGTTGATTACGTAACCAACGGGCTAACCAGGCCAGATGACAATCACATACTAACTTATTCTCACTTATACGCCTGGAAAATATAAACATTTTGTTAAAAGACACATATATATGAATTGTTACCAATGACTATATAGGGTAAAGAATGCACTACACATCATTTCACTAGATTTATTTTTTGTAGGGGTGTTGGGGTTTGGGTGGTCCAGTCCAGAGATCTAACGCTTGTGCTTTAAATTGTAAGATCTGTCATTGAGTCAAGTGACCCAAGCCTGGACAATTTTCTTTCGGGAGTTCAGATTGTATTTTGCATATAAATCCCTGATTTTGTACAGAATTTCTTTAAGTTATTTTGTTATTATATGCAACAAATTGATTGATTAAGATGAGTGTGTATATTTAACAACATCAACTATTACACAATATTGCTTTTTGGATAGGTATAAAAGGCCTGTCTGCTCTCCACCACCTTCCATGTTTTAGACTAATTAAGTTTCAGAATTAGGGTTAGAGAAACCGAATCCTTTAATCTTTAAATTATCTGGAGAGCAGGTCGACCGTGGAGGGCCTGAAATACACCCCATGTTGCTTTTAATATAACATTGGGGATTTGGAAGCGAGCCGACATTTTACACAAGTCAGCTAGCTTAAACATGTCTAAATCTGACATAAAGAATATCTGTGAAGATGTAAATAATGTGGAGCTAGTTTTTTATCCTTGTGAAACCAGGTGTAATTATAACAGAGAACAGATGGTAAAATTCATGCTCCATTTGAAATATTTATCTTTCAACCAATTACACAGCCTGTTAAAGATTTTCTCTGGGTAATTACAAACAGCAGTAGAGTTATATATAGAAACAATAGTACAGAAAGTGTTGTCGACATTTTTGCAAGCTATTATACAACTGTTTTTACAACTCCACTCTTATTTAAGAGTTCCATGACATGAAAAGTACTTTAAATATTATAATGACATGAATTCTTTAACAGCCTGGTTATCTTCGATTGTATACTTACAGAACTCGTAATTTGGACATGGAAGAAAAGACATCTTTTGGTAGTGTAGTTATATTGTTGTTACTGAGTGTTCTGAAAATGAAATGACAAAGAAATTGATAAATACATTGTTTTATAGCTATATATTCTTAGTCCTTCGACAAGGAGTAGGGTCACCTCACCAATCTCTAGATTTTCTTCAGGTCCTCCGATTTCCTACCACTGCAAAAGACCTTTATGCACAAGAAAATTAAAGATACATTATGGGAGATTCGATAACGAGTTGGCAGGTCTCAGTATAATAGTTAAAAACTAGATAATGTAAAGGCAATTTGCTGAAAATTTCATTCAAATTGATCCACTATGAACCGAGAACTAAGCGATTGCCTAGCCTCGATCATCATCATAACATTTCAGGCCTAAAGAAAGACCTGCAATAGACAGATTTAGCTCTTGCATAATGTATGTTTAAAGCATGTCTCCTCATAAGTTATTTCCAGTTGTTGGTACCCGGCACAGTGGACGAAATTATTTCAGAAATGATATAATGAGATAACATGTGTTATGAGATGTTATCTTGTGAACATGATGTTACAGTGTGAACATACAGATTATAAATGGTGGTGGCAATGGGATGAGCTACCAGAAGTAACTTATTGCTCATGTCGGTTTTGTCACAAGAAATATTCTAAAACTCTAAAGCAGGGTGATGTAAACCCAAGTATTGTAACTTTTGTTGTTGTTTACTAGTCTTTACAGTTTATCCTACACATTATTTATATCAGGGTAGTCTCTATCATTTCCATAACCCATTAACTACCGAGTTCATGTATGTTTCAATGCCAAAATACTGGTTGCCTGGTACCAAGAAGTTGGACATCAGCGCATAAATAAGGGTTGATCATGGCTAGAAAACTAGTATTGTGGACACTACATTGTTGCTGTCTTGATCTATCTCCAATATTCTACTGTATTTCTGCCTGATGTCTGACATTTGGACATAAACAAGTAAACAGAGCTCTACAAATCTGGTTGGGTGTTCAAACGGTTAAAAATCAAGATATTTTCTTGATGGGTGACTCCACTAACATCCAACAATAAAATTTATTTTGAGCTGTTTGATTTATTTTATGAGCAATTATACACTTTTAAATGTACTCACAACGACCAAAACAGATCATAGATTTTAAACTTTACCTAATAAATTCTCAAATTTTACGAGATGAGTTATCAAAAGTGACAGAGAGTGACCTCAAGTGTGCTTATAAACACATAACATGCAATTGAAACTGACTTGAATATCATTTGGTACACAGCTCTTATCAATTTTAAGAAGGATAGGATGTCGAACAATAAACATGTGCACCTACAAGCTTAAGCCACTTGGTCATCTTGGCTATAATGGAAACTAAGTATATTATGTCTAAAATTAATTCATTGGTATATACTTCTGCCAGTCAAAAATTGTTTTGGAAATCAATGGGCGCAAATGTTATGGCCACAACATTCAAGAATACACAAAAGAGCAAACACAGGATTTAAGACAATCAAAAGTACTCTTAAGGGGGCATTATGCTATAAAATTTCAAAAATAGATCATGAAAACATGAATATATTGAAAATTTCAGTCAAATTATTTTAAGTAATCACCTGATCCTAGGTTACACTATTACGAAAAGAGTTTTCCCCATTAGAAATCAGTTCAAACTATCTAATTGTGAGAGAAAGTAAAATATGTGTAACATTAGTTTAAAATAAACATGAACATCCTGTAGGTGAGATTATATTAGATTTTTTTTTTAAACCTATATCTGATTATATTTTCTAAGTTGTAAGATTACAACCAAGAATCACAATAAAAACATAAGCTTCTTACATCCCTAAAACAAGAACTGATCATTTTAGAACCAAGTGCTTAACTGTTGCTATAGTTATACTCAACCGATAGTGAATTGTATGCTTTTTGCTATTCAACACCTTTAATTGTGCAGAAGTTTACCTTGTGCTTGAAACACACGGCGAACTTAATTTACACATGCGACAATGCACTTTTGGTCACATGATATAGGCGGTGATAAATATTCAGGAAATAAATATCAAACATGTTTGAAATTGGTGGATGATGTCAGCCTTGTGCGAATGTTGCCAGTCTAGAAACACTAGGCAGAGTTTGTGGGCAATGGGTTCGCGCGAATTATTCGCCTAAAATTTGTCTAGTGTGTCCTAGCTATTACAGAGCACATAAAGTAAACACATTATAATTATATGAAGATTTCATGTTTTTATATACCAAAAATAAAATTTCATCTAAATCTATTCATATTAATTAAATATATATATCCACTCAAAGTAAAAATATAATGTGCCCATGACTAAGACTAACATTAATCTAAAACACAAGTGTGTGACATCACTACAGAGACCAAATGTTTGTTACAAACTACTGGTAGCTGATCTGAATGATTTTAAATCCAAATGCGTAATAAAATATCACATGAAGTTGAAGAGAAATGATGTAAAGTGGTTTTGTTTTAGATTCTATTTAAAATTTGTTATAAATGTGGTATAATCAAGCCAAAAACACACCTACAATAATTGGAAATTCAGAGGATGTGAAATTATTATACATAAACAGACTGCTAATACAATGTATATTGTGATTAACTCAAAATGTACGTCTTCCATAGCCTACTTTTACAAGTTAAAATATGTACAAATAGGTTTCCTATGGTGATAGATCATACGTAAATACTATAATACAATTTTAATAAACCCTCAAAATATATATAAGACTCTTTTATTTGTATTGTATTTTTTGGCAATATTTTAATAAAGAAAAAAAAAGTTTGTGGACTTAACTATGCCTATTAAGTTTGACAAGATACTAATTGAATTTGGGCATTTGACAACTATATTATGACTATATATATTCTTCATTACATATTTTCCATCTTTTAGGGATTGGGGAGCTGCTAATTATTAAAGGCTGTACTGAGATCTCATTAATCTTGTTTTATGGAAGAACATTTAAAGGGGTGTGACTCTATTCTTTGGAACCTTATAATAGATGTTTGCAAAATGATCTCTACATCAATGGAAATCTACGGAACGACATGGCACTAACTCCTGTTTCCCTGATGGAACATGCACAAATCTTAATCACAAATATGAGAAATCTTCACATTCAATTTAAATTTAAATAATATCCAATCATGATTACAATTAAGAATAATTCAAGAAGAGAAAAGTTCATTTATTTTACCGATGACCTTTAAACAGGTGCATATTAAATCAAAGGTTGAGTTAAAGAGTCCTGGAAGTAGAACATGCTGAACTTTGATAAAATGAAGAGTTGATATGAGTTGTACACATACTTGTTATCAGTTGGGTTGGGTTGTCTACATATCTACTCTTACCAGTTTTAAATTAGCTTTAAGTACTGGTATGTCCTTGTAATTTCTCATCCTTTACTTCATTCTACAATATCTTGTTTTACATGCATACCAACAGTATATACGCTTAGCAATCTCTATTTTACATTTAGATCATAAGGTCTGTGATAGAGTCAAACGGTGCAGTTTCGATACCAAGCTTGTGTGTGACAAGGAGTAGGGTTATAGATCCCTACTCCCAAGCAAATTATTGAAATAATTTGTCACATTTGTGTGACCTAGTTACTCTCTCTCATTTCAATTTGATACTACTATATTTCCACATCTAATCTTTATTTCAGAACTAGAAGTATAGTACACCTTAATCATTTATTTCAGTCTTCAATGATGGCTCAAAACTAGCAACTACTATATAATATAATCAAAAGCAAAGTTATTGTTACTTTTTTAGTGTGATTTTTCACCCAGCAGTAAATATTTTTCTAGTATGTATAGTATTTATGATGCGTACAATGTATCTATTTCTATATGTATGGTAAATACATCATCACATTAAGACTGTTCTTCTAACAAACATTACATTGAATACCTTAATATACCTATCTATTTCAGCACTCTTCTATTGTTATTTCACAATTCTCTAGTATATTTACCATGAAAAGAATTTTTTACGGTATACAGATATTTGTAAATGAATACTCCACACTTTTATGCAATTAACCAATATTTACAGAACACATTGTCTGAATATTGTTTTACTAATTCTCTTTTCGGTATTTATAAAAAGCAAACGTAGCAAGTTTAAAACTGTGTTGATTGACAGTCTGCTTTGGAATATATTCCATGTTAATACATCACAGCAACAAAGATCAGAGTTACTTTCAGCTCTACTAATGGGTTTATATTTGAAATCATCAATCAACAACTATATGATGATCATTGGATAACAAGAGTAAATTGTTAGACGATTTTGAAGACAAAAGTCAGTTTGATATCTAAAATATCTGTGGACTAACCACTTGCTTTTTCTTTAAAAATGATTTGTTGGTAGATTTAAGACTAACTACAAAACTGATGGTGTTTAAGACTATAGGGTCATTCCAGGTTACATCAAGTGATGCAGAGAACACCCAACCATCTTTGACTAATAATGTTATAAACTATCCAATGCAAAATTTCAAATTTTACTTCCATTAAATGAACGGTTCCAAAATTATGGAGTGCTAAATATGTCAAAATTTGTAATATGTTCAGAAGTCCATGTTTTACGATGTAATCCATCAATACTGACCTTTCTCATTAAACCAAGAATGCAATATTTGTGGACATTATGGCTAATAAAAATAAAAGCAACACTAAAAAAAATTAATTGTTATCCTCTCCAACAGCCCACTCTCTTCTTATGATCAATCATTTGTTTGACATGAATAATGTTTTAAAGGAAATTTCAATACTTACAGAATTTCCATATCATGTAGTCCCCGAATAGCTTGATCAGATACACAGGTAATTTCATTATGATCTAATTGTCTGTAAATAGATTGATTCAAAGATTTAATAGTTTTGAGAATGAAACATACGCCCACAGCAGCTAAATCGTCTGCGCAGTCGACAAGGGTTGTCACATATTTATTCTTTTGTAGATAATGAGCACCTTTACAAGACACTGATATCAATTTCAAACAGATCGGTTGACAACTTTTGTTGAAATAACATTCACAAGGTTCTACAAAGTGAAACAAGGGCCACAACTCTAAAAATAATTAATGAAAATTGCTAAAATTCAATAGGGTTCTTCACTTGACTAATTTAAATAATGCATATATACATTTCAAACAGATCTGATGACAACTAACATTGTTAGAGCATTCACAATGTTCTACAAAGTGAAATTAGGGCCATAGCTCTAGAAGTATTTCACGGAAATTGTTGAATATGTGTCACTAATTAAGAAGATGCTTATAAATTTCTTACAGATCGGATTATAACCTTTGTCATTAGAGTGTTCACAAGGATCAGCGAAGTGAAACAAGATCAGATGATTACTTTTGTCATTAGAACATTCACAAGGGTTTAACAAAGTGAAAAAAGGCCCATAATTCCAGAAGTAATTAACGGAAATTGCTGAAATTCAATAAGATTCTTCAATTTACTAATCTATATAATGCATATGAATTTAATACAGATCAGATGATAATTTTAGCCATTAGAGCGTTCATAGGGCTTTACATAGTAAAACATCGGAGTAAAACATTGGCCATAACTCTAGAAGTAATTAACGGAAATTGCCGAAAATTAATAGGATTCTCCGTTGTACTAATCTAAATGATTCATATAAATTTCATACAGATCAGATGATCACTTTTGTCATTAGAGTGTTCACATGGTTTGAAAAAGTGTAACATGGGTCCTTGAAGTAATTAACATGAATACGTGCCTTCGTCTTACCAATATAAACAACATATATAAATTTCAAAAAAATTGGATAATAAATGTAGTCTGTGGAGTGTTCACAAGAAATTGTGGACAGACGGCAATTTTCTACCATATTTCCATTTGGGCATATAAAAACTTGTTGCAATTAAACATAGATAGGAGCTAGTCAGACCCCTAATTTCAAAGTTTTGACAGCCATTTCTCAAGGCATATTAACTTTGCTCAAATGTGTGTGAAACTGTACTTCTATAAGGTTCAACTTTCTTGAACTTCTTTCAATGACAGAGGCAATAACTTTGCAAACAATTATTAGTGAATCTGAGTTTCAGTAGGGTTTAGAATTATGATCAGTTGAAAATTTTCTGCAAGTTTGAATAAAAAATCTCCAAAACTCTGACATGTAGAGCCACTATAGGGTTTCAAGGACAAGGCCATTTGATAGGGTTCACAAGCATAAGATTACACTAGCAAAAACTCAAACCCTGTAGAGCAATTACAATGTTTTGATGTCAATGGTGGTAGCTATCTGAATAGCTGATATTGGATTCTGGCTTTTTATAGGTCTAACTTTATTACTATCACACAAGTTCAGATTTCTTTTCTTCAAAACTCTAACCTGTAGAACAATCACAAGGTTTAATAACTAGGGCAATAGTTCTGATGATCAGTGTTTCGATAGGGTAAACAATTCCAGAAGTTTTAAAAAAAACCCCAAAAAACAGTCAAAATCTCTGATATGCTGATTACAATTTGTTGTTGTCAAATAATTGTGGGCGTATAAAAATTGATTATGTATTGGTATGGAGATATTAAGGGCAGAATATAATCTTGAATCAACAAACTTATGGGCAAGATAGCGGTGAGCGTCACAATCTGATCTGTAATCACCGTCAAAAAACCTTATTATATCACCAATTTAACATTTGATCATAACAGTGGGCTGAGAACTTCCTATATCCGTACATCTATTTTATACTGAGTAATTATTCATTCCCTTGTCACCAAAACCTTTTGACCAGACATGTCTGAATCTTTCCTTAGCCTTTTTTGTGCTGATTTCCAATGGAGAGTCAGAACAATAAAACCCTGTGTTTTGTCAGTTTTCCCAACCATTGAAGCTCTGAAGTTGTTGAGAATGTTGTGAGACAGCTCATATTATACATTGATTGAAAGCTTAATTAATACCTATACAAATATGTATCCCAGACCTTTCTAATACTTGTGTGTTGGAAAGTATCCAAAACAATACCACCTATATGAATATCACATGTTGACAATGAAATTAGCAATGTTGATATGTGGTAGGTTTATTGGTTTGTGCACAGTTTAAGAAAGATAAAGAGATGTGTCTTTGGAAGTAAAATAGCCTCATGTTTTATACTTTTGGGAGGTCATCCAAATTGGTCTCACTTAAAAGTCTTAAATTTAATTTTTGAGTTGATAAAACATCAGAGTTCATAAGGGACTCAGCTTCTGATGATTGTTAGTCATGTACATGTAGCTCCAAAGACCTTAATAACCTCTTTAACTGGTCTTTTGTCATTGAGAATGATTTCTAAAATAGACATTTTTTTCATAATAAATGATTTTTAAATGTATCATATTGTTGATGTACACAATAAAATCTTATATTGTCATCTTCAAACAAAAACATCTAGTTTTATATAGGTCAATTTTTTTACTATTAACTGACAATCTAAACAAATTCCTCACATTTATATATTTATGGGTAACACCATTAGGTACCAAATCACCCACTTCATTTTGACATCATAAATCATCAGATCACCCACTAGTGACCAAGGCTCTAAAGTAGTTAATAATGACGGTAGGAATATGTTTTCAGCAATTTACAGATATTATGAAGAAATTCAGGTGTTATGTTGACCTCCGTAAAATTTGGCAGAAAATTTACATTTAACTTAAAATGTGAATGAAGGCTATAACATAGTGTCCCCAAAATTTTTTTGTGAATTCTGCTTTCAAAATTGGTATAAATCTAACAAAAACACCTATAATTTTTTCTATATTATGTAAATACCCTTTTATTTTTCTAGAAAATAAACATAACATGTGATGTTCCATATAGAATAGCTTAAAACATCTGATATCACTTTGTGTTCGAGGAGTTCACGTAGCTGACAATGTTTGTTGTAGGCCTACCTATCAATTATGAGTCCTTAAAAATATATCATGACCTTATGATTTTAGCTTAAATTAAAAAGATGTCCCCGTAATTTGATATCATTTGTAATTATTGATTTTGGTACCCAAGGGTAATTATACATGTTTCAATAATGATTACATAATATTTTATATAGCTTATAACTTACAGATTCTTCAACTTTGTTGAGCTTTTCAGGGTTTTCTTTCCAATAAATTGTATTTTGTTATAACTTAAATCCCTGAAAGTAAAAAAGTCATAATTTAAATTTACATTACAATTTCCAGATGGTTGCTCCACAACTGTTACTACAACAGGATGGTCATTATTATCAGGTGGTACTATTTAATATAGTCTAATAAAAAGACTGGCAAATCCATGCCAATTCAATTCCAGGTGTGCTCTAATCATATGAAAAATGTATCTATCCGAAGCCTGCACTGTATTAGCTAATACACACCAGTTTAATTTTTCTCCATTTAAGAAACTACTTCACGGCTAAAATAGCACTTGCTGACAAGCTTGCATTGCTTTCTACAAAAGCTAACTAGAATGGTTCATTTTAGTGGAAAAAACAAGTCATATGGGCAAATAACAATAACATGGTGACCATGCTTACATTGCTTATGGGTGTCGATGCTACACCGATGGAATTTTAAAATACCGTTTATAAAGATGACAAACTATTCTTATCACAGAAGTTTTACTGTCATTTTCTGCCGTATTAGCGATGACACAAAATTTTGGAGGAAAATTACTGGCATGAGTTTGAAGCAGGTATGGGTCGGTACGCTTTCATTCCAACGTATTACAAAAACACATAATTTTGTAGGAATATTACTAACATAAATTTGAATATCTTACGGAAATTATATGTGAAAAATAGCATGGTGCACCTATTTTTTATGCTACATAACATAAAAATATTTTTAGTTGAAGTCTATTAAAGGGAGTAGAAGCTTCTTGACGCTATTCCTGAAGCTGACAAATGACTTCTGGTGACCTACTTCTGGTCTCTATTAATAAACCTCAACTAAAAATGTCTGAGGAGCAAAATTTTGAAATAGCATCCCTGGTGTGCTTTCAATTGCGCACCAGAAACATGCTCAAAAAATTAAAATTCAATCTCATTATCAAATCCTTGATTTCTCTCACTAAATTAGATATAAACATTCGTTTACTGGGCTAAGTGGGTAAGACGCTGGCTCGCTAGACTGGAGGTCGGGTGTTCGATCCCTACATTGGCCGAGAAAGTTCATCCAGATTTTGCAGCGTGGTTCCTCATTGTCAGTGATGCAAGAGGGATGGCCTGACAAGGACAGCTGTCTAGTCATTCGGATGGGACAAAAAACCGAGGTCCCGTGTACATATTGGCATGCACGTAAAAGATCCTTTGACAATTGGAAATTGATATAAGAGTAGGCCGTAGTGCAGCTGTCTGGGCAAAATTTCCCTCATAGCACACTGTATGGCGTATGTCCATCTTCATTAGCCCAGTTCTTCAATATATTGAGTTCCTATTCAATTTATGGATGTATTATGTCAGGCTGTTTCATGGAAATCCCATTTTGATTGGTCAATTATAGTATTTGAATATTACCGTGACATATCTTCTACGCGGGCCAGCTGAAAAATTCTAAGCCTATCTGTGACAGACCTTTACAAAATCAATGGTTTCTATTTATTTTTCTACATAGTAGCCTTTGAGGTATACACACTTTTGCCAACGATGTTGCAAAGCCTGGATGCCGGTCAGAAAGAAATTTCTTCAGCCACCCTAAAAAAAGTCGTTCACAGCTGACATGATGTCATCATTACTAGGAATCTGATGACGGGCTATTTCCTTTTTCATTTCTGGAAACAGGTCTCATCCATTGTTACAAATCTGGCCAAAAATTCCAAATGGCGCAGAATGTCATGGGACGTCAGGTATCTGAAAAGTTTCAGATCTGCAGTCAAGACCTTTGACACCTATCTTACAGAAACTTTTGTCATGCCCACAACACTGGCAGCATGTTGAGTGGTCAATCACCATGAGATGCACCTAACCAATGTTTTCTTGAATGGTTGCTGTTAATGGCCTTCCAGGATGCGGGACATTATCAAGGCTCTCTCTGCCACACTTAAATTCTGCAGCCCACTTCTTTACTGTGAAAAGGAAGGGGCATCATCACCTAAAATGTAGACCATAGCAGTATATATCTGTGTTGGAGTTAGTCCTTTCAGTTCCAGGTACTTGTCCATTTCTGGTGATTTCAAAGGGTAGATTCACAAGATGGTCTGGTACAAAGACAATAACAACACTACAGTTGCAGTTCTTATGTCTATGATTAATTCAATGATTGTCCTTGTTGGTGGCAAAAGATTGTTTCAACCCAATTGATCTATCCTTTTCAGGCTTAGAACTTTTCAGCCAGCCATCCCTCGTATATAAAAAAAATATAAGTTTAATTATGCCATAGATTTCGATAAGTGAATATCACAGGTTTGTCAGTTATAATACTGGGAAGATAGAATCAAGGAATGTTAGCCTTTACATTGCGAAATTGTCCGTGTCCGGTCTTAATGTGACCAAAAGTGTTTGAAAGATCTCTATCCCATGAAGATCAGTACATGTGGGTCATAATATAAAATATTCAAAAGAGATAATTTTGTGAACTTGTTGATCTTCCACTATTAAATTTCAGACTCTACAGACCTCATTCAAAAGTTAGTTGCAAACATTAATTCCGCCTGTTACACTTAAAAATAAATGTTGACCAGATAATCAAGTACATATTTATGCATTTCCTGTTGACAATGTAACATATCTATGAGTTAGTATGGTTATCTCAAATATCCAGATATCCAGACATTTGTGATATGTTTCCATCATCAAAAACTTATTTGTGCAGATGGAAAAAAGATAAAATACATACAAATGGCATGTTTTGATGTGCTATTATAAGGGTATCAAAAGCTCTCAAATGCTTTGTTTCCATAGTAAATTGCATGGATTATCTATAATACAGCTGTACTATGTGGCAATATCCCTTTAATATTATATTTGAACCATTCCCCTACCTGCACATTCAACATACATATGTATATGAAACTGGCATCAAACTGTATATTGTTTTAATTTCATATCATCATAGTGACACAATAAATTTTTCTCAGATCAGAAGCTAACAAAGTTTTCTTCTACTATTATTATTTTAAATATTCTTTTTTTTTTTAATTTTAATGCTTAAGCAAAATACTTTGATTTCAAACACATCATTAAGAGAAAGTATTTCCAAAGTGTACACGTAAATTTGTATGAAATAATTTTATGATATTTTGATGCATGAAAATGAGCATGAATATCATTTTGCAAACTTGAAAGGTTTTTGTGACAGTAGATCTGTCAACTCATATACATAATCTCAAAGTTGCTGACACAAACATTATCATATCCTTTAAATATCATATGTATATGAATAAGTAAAAGGATAAAACTATTTTCACATTCATAGAGTGTGTATTTAGGGAAAGAAATGTTTTCCAGTCTGTATGTCCAATAGAGACATCATGTATCCAGGTATGTAAAGATAAAACCATGTAAAGTGTAATATACACTAGTTAAATAAATATATACATGCATAAATATATTTATATAGACCTTTAATCTTACAACAAATGTCTGCTTATCTTATATAGACATAAAACTTATATTCAAAGTACGTCTCAATATTGAAGATCATGTGAACACATTTTCAAAGAATTTTGCAGGCAAGAAGATCTATGAGGACCACACACACACATCTAATATAAATCTATTCAACACTTGAATCAATAAGTTTCACATTGAAATCTTATTTCAAAATCTCACTACCATTTTCAATCTTTAGTTTTATAACACACAAAGATCTGTAGTTGATGTCCAAAATGTAGAACATGCTCTAAACCTAGCACAGACAGTAGTAAATTATTATTTTAAGAAAAGAGCTTTAACATTTACATAGTTAAAACAATACTTGGCGAACTTCTTTCATCTTAGTATTAAGTTATAGCATCAAAAACACCTTGTCTTACAAATAAGTTGGTAACAGATCACAGAAATACTTAAACATTCCTTTTATGTTGGTATCACTTAATACTAGGGTTATTATACATAGTAAAAGAATAGAAGTTTTGGTTTAAAGGTTTGAATATAATCTATGTGTTCTACAAGAAGATCACAAGGTCTAGAACGTGTTTCTATAAGATATCTGTAAGGAATGGTAATAACACTGCCAAATATGTTGTCAGATAAAAAAACTTGCCAACTTGCTGAGTGCATCTTCAATGATTAAGATCTGACTTCCACAAAGAAAGACCAAATTATCTGATAATTTCTTGCCATGGTGTTTATGTGTAGGCTTTGTGGTTGACCTATGTTTTGTTTTACTCTAGGAATAACAAATGTATCTGATTACATCACCAACCGGTTTGTTTTACAAAAACTCAACACTCACCATTTGTCTACCCAACACCTGCTTTATTTTACTTTATGTCGTCAAAAACTACCATATATATGCGTTTGTGAATTTTTTTCGAAAGGCAAACAATTGACAATAATATGTCTTTTGTATGTGAACAATAGTGAGTTCATTATCTTCACACTAAGAGTAACCTAGCTGTTTAACCTTATGTTGTTGTTTTTTATTGTTTTACTGTGGAGGTATTCAAATATGTCAGTTTGAATGGTTGAGTTGCACAATCTAAGACTTGGGATTGGGAACATTATTTTATGTAGGCTATTTTGTAACCTAATCTTTTCAATAAAACATTCAGTTCTAACATTGTTAATAACTACAGTAGCTTGGAAGCAGGGTTCTTTAGCAGTGGGAGAAGAGCCAGAGAAAGGCAATGACCAAGGCCTAAAATAAGGTGGAATTCTTGTAGCACGGATTCTGTGTCCGGTGGATCAAGCTCCAGTTTCCCATCCATATTTCAATGCTTAAAATCGCAGTTAATACTGAAAATTCGTGAAAATTATGTCAAAAATAAACTTTTTCATAGTGAATTTGAAATGACGGTCAAGGACGCAGCGGATCAGATACCAAAGTTACTGAAAACCTGACTAGTGTGCTGATGCGCCTGGCGTTCACTCGACTCATCCGAGGAAGTCGATCAGGCGCCAGCTGATCTGATCTGATCTGCGCAACTGACCACCACAAGAGAAAACACTCTTTAGGGGTCAGGAGGCATCGCTACCTTACACTTTTTCAGAGCCCT